TTAATAATAATAATAACTACGATAGATTTCATTGATATTAGAACTTTCATGGATTGATTCGCGTCGTGTTTGGGTTGAATATTTTTCATTGGTTAAATTACTCATTTTTAATTTAATTTGTTTATTATCGTATTAGGTTTGTATTAATCTATTTATTATCGTTTTGGGTTCGGGTTGATTCGTGTGGATTCGTATGCATAATTAAGTCGAATTTTTTAATTTAAATTAAATAATTTTTTGTTGTGCTGTCGTGTTATGTTAGTTTTTATTGGTTTGAACGTAAATTATGTTGAATTATTTAAAATTAAACTTAGTTTAAATTAACTTACGAAAAAATTAATAAATTATGATTATTTTACATATATAATAAATACTCCCTTTGTCCCATGTAATATGGGTATATTATTGTAGACATGGAAATTTAAGTAATGTATAATTAGTAAGTAATTAAGAAATGTATTTGTAAAAATAATTATTATTTAGTAAAAATAATTATAAATTAATATTAAGATAACTAAATAGTTTAATTACGATTAAAAAAATTAAATTTTAAATTTTAAAATATGATTAAAATGTATAATTAATTTTTTTTTTTTAAAAAAGGACAAATTATGTGGGACGGACGAAAATAGAAAATATGGACAAATTATGTGGGACGGAGGGAGTATACTATAATCGGGTTGTCGTGTCGGGTTCGAGTTGAGAGTCTTAATCATAATCCGACCTGTTTATTATCGTGTCGGATTCGTGTCAACCCGTATACATAATCGGATTGAAATATTTGACCCAAATCTAATTATTTTGTGTCGGGTCAATTTTTTATGGTTCTAATTGATATAGTATCAATTTTGGATCTTTTTTTTGCACTAAGCATTTATAATAATTTTTTTAAAAAAAACAATCATAATAAATATTTATTTTAGTTAATAAATCAAATTAATAATTTATTCTTATATTAATATTACATTAAATGTACACTTCTTATTAAAAAAAACAAAAATCACAAAATATTAAAAAAAAAAAAAAAAAAAAAAATCGGCCCCAACATCCACCAGGATGATGATCATTTTTGCATCAGATAATTTCATCGCAAATTTTGTTGCTAAAATTTGCAACGAATAATTGATCGTGTGGTTTTGGCGACCACTTGTTTTGCAACGGATGGATAATCAATTGCAAATTCCACTGCAACATAAATTTCCCACGAGATAAATACGATTTACGAAAAAAAAAAAATCCGTCACAAATCGACGGATTTATTTTATTTTATTTTATTTATTTATTAATTTTTTTAGTGTATAGCTAGCTTGCAGGCTAATTGCACCCAATTTGAAGTTTATCTATATATAGACACGTGAAATTGATTAATTGTTGAAACTACTGGGGATAGGAAACCTAGCAAAACAAAAATTTCACTTGGTAATGGATTCTCTTAAGTTTTTTAAAAAATATTTTTATTATATAATTTTAAATTATATATATAAATATTATATACAATAATTATTTTATTTAGAAGATTAAAAAAATACTCATAAAATATTAAATTTTTTTATTTTATAATAATTATGTTGAACAACTAATTTCATCTAAAAATATGTTAAAATGAAAAAAAAAAAAAAAACACCTAAATATTATAATATTATGGGTGTGTATATATATATATATATATATAAGATATATACATCCTATTTGTATTTCAATAATTAATAAATTAGGCTGGTAAGATACATATGACAACATGTTTTGATTAATGGGATTACAATTAACATTGTTTATTTTATTTTTATTATCTTTTATTACATGAGAATTTACGTAAAATCTGGCTCCGCAGTCGCTACTCGAAAGTGCACACCGATAAATCTCCGATCGAACCTAATACCCTGCAAATCAGACCCGACAAAAAAGTCGGTTATAAATCCAACCCCTACACCACCATGTCGTTCCTTTGCGGACTAGTTTGTTTATTTTTTATTATCCTTAAAAGTGGACCATTAAGTGCACTTGTCAAATTAGTGGCACATTTATTTATTGAAAGTCATATTCACAATATTAAATTGGATCTAATATTATATTATTTAATTTATATTTTAATGTAAAATAATATCATATATTTATTTTTATACTCAGATTTTATATTCGATCAATCTTTTCACTTAAATAAACAATAAAACATAAGTCGAAATAAAAAATTCCATAGCAAGAGTTACTCTATTTTTTTAGTTTTAATGGAAAAAAATGAAATGAATTTTAATAAAAAAAATTGCATATACATACGGCAGTAAATACTATGCTGACTAATTATTATTAGCAGAATATCGATGACACATAATTTATAAATAAATAACACATAAAATATAAATGAATAATACAAAATATATTAATAAAACGACAATATATTCCAAGAGATTATATAACACAAATTACAATTAATTTCAGCACTGTAGCACACAAAGTATAATATCTAACATAAGTTAAATAATGGAGATGAGATATAGTATATTTTTCTTGTTTTTTTTTTAGGTTTTAATTTTTATTATTCTTTTAGATGAAACGGTAAAAAAATAGAAATACCAAAAAATAAAAAATAAATAAATATGAATTATAAAAATAGAAATACCAAAAAATAAAAAATAAATAAATATGAATTAGTGAACACATATATATGATCGCTTTTTACATATAGTACGTGAGCTTTTGCTTTTGGATAAATTTATTTATTATTTTTCTATGTTATATATGAAAATTATATTGGTAATATAATAAATTATATTTTATGTTGAATTGTTGATTTTTGTGAGTTAATAAGATATATGTATTATCTTTATATTTATATTATATTTTATATATTTTCTCCGTCCCATATAATATGAGTGTATTATGTAGATGTAGAAATATAGGTAAAATATAATTAATAAATAATTAAAAAATGTATTAGTAAAAATAATTATAAATTAAGATTAATATAACTAAATAGTTTAATTAAAAATAAAAAATTTAAAATATGATTAAAGTGTATAATTATCCTATAAAAAAAAAGAGCCAAATTATGTGTAACGGACAAAAATAAAAAATTAAAAGAAATTATGTGAGATAGAAAGAGTAATATTTATAAGATTGTGCCCACCTAAAAATAAGTTGGATGAACAAACCCAATTTTTTACTATACATAAAAGAAAGCTCAATTTTCTTATTTATCCATTGAAAAGATAAATTTATTTTATTTTTAGCAAAAAAATATATATTATTTTTTATTCTTTTAACCATTTTTTTCTACTTTTGTTATTATAGAAGATAAAAATTACATATTATTTTAAATTCGTACCCATATCAAATATACTTATTTTTATATATATAAAAAAATAAAAATTATTTTAATTCATAAAATATTTATTTAATTATTATTTAAGTACAAAGTACAAATACAAATACTTACTCTGTCCACAAACTTAAGGCCGATTTTTTTTTTTTTGTAAATTACAAATAAAATATGCTTAAATTTGATGGGTGAAGAGAATATAAACCAAAGATATATATATATATTTTTATTTTTAGCCATTTATAAAGTACTTAATGATTTTTGCAAATCAATAATAATAATTTTCACGGTTCCTCGTGGTTCACTTAAATTATATATATATATATATATTTTGTCGTGACATTATGAAGCCAAATACTTCCAAATTTTCATAATGTAATCCAGACTACTACTAGTAATAATAATACTAAGAGTAAGTTCGGTCGGAATTTGTTCGAACCTCGAAAAAAATAGTGATTACAGATTATCATATCATAAAGAAATATATATTATTAGATTATAAATTCAAACACTCGAACACGTGATTTAAAATAATAACTAATTTATTATATTTATAATTTTTCAAAAAAAAATATTTTATTTTTATTCATTTTAATATAAATTTATGTAATAAAACAAATAATATACTAACTTAGAATACAATTATTTTAAATTTCTAAAATAAAGTAATAACTTCACAAAAATACAAATATACTAAAATAATCACTAAATAATGTAATAACAGTGTATTAATTTTATATAAAAATAATATTTTATATTAAATTAATAAATTTGCATAAATGAATATAATATATAGTATATACTTTCTTTGTCCACTAACACAATATATATATTTTTATTTGTGTTGCGGGATAACAAAGTAATAATTTCAAAAATACATTTTTTAAAAAAATATTTATATTTTACAATTATATCATTATTTTTATAAAAATATATTTATATTACTTTTAATTATACATTTATTTCTTAAAACTTTACAGTATATTTTCAAATTGAACAAAAAATAGTATTATATGGAGTGTTATATTAATGAATATATATATATATATATATTGTAACTTTGAGATAATATTTATCAAATTTTGTGTCGCTAAAAAATCTGGGTAACAAAACTTCACACAATTATATATATATATATAAGTTTTCATAAATTTTTTTAATAAAATATAGTAGTATTATTACAATATAATATTAAAATATAAATACAAATACAAAGAGACAATCAAATCCAATCTAAAAAAAACATGTGAAATGCAATTTAAGGATCTTCCTTAACTTTGTAAAAGGAATGAGAGGGATTGAACATAATAATTAAGAAAAAGAAAAACATTTAATTTAAGAAATTGAATACTACTAATATTATGTAAGGGTGTGTTTGTTCTGATTTTGGATTTTGAATTGGAATTTGAATAGTAAAAAAATTGAATTAGAACAGTTGTATGATTTGATATTTTGAATATAAAATTGATTTTTAGTATAATATAAAAATTAAAAAGTAAGTGTTTAATTTGATTTTTTTGAGTAATGTTTTTTTTGTATAAATAGTGTAAAATTTTCCAAATCCTTCGAACAAACACACCCTACAATTCTCATGGTGTTGAAGTCCCGGGTGCTCGTAACGTCATCTTGATATAGGCTGTATCTAACGGTCAACTTCTACCAGCAAAAGCACTCACCATCTCTGAGAAACTGTCTTGCTTTTGTTTTACATACTTAATGGACAGACCCCCACTCACCCCTTACCCCCCTACCCCCACCCCCCCGCCGTGGCCCCCCTGCAGCCCTGTCCTCTTCAGACGACCACGCACGGGCGCATACAGAAAATTACCGGTTACCAATTGCGAGCGCCGGATCGGTCGGTCGGTCGATGGATCGATGAAAATCGAGAAATCGGTCGATGTTAAAAGAGGAGCGACATTCAATCCATGGATTTGGCGATGAGAGTTGCGGAAATGTCGAATTCGAATCCTGAGGATAGGGATTTCCTCTCCTCTCCAGCTCTCTCCCTTTCTCTCGTAAGCATACTGTTTTGTGGATTTTCCCCTATTTTGGTTTTGGTTCCCAATGTAATTTTGGAGTAGTGTTCAAGCTCTTTTCATGAATCGACTTTGTTTGTGTGTGCCTGTGCTGTTATTTTCTTAGGCTGGAATATTTCGAGCGACGGAGGCGAGCGGCGGAAGTGGGCGCCGGGATGAAACAGTCGAGATAAGCAGCGAGAATTCTGGTCCGGGAAAGTCCGGCCGGTCCGACGACGAATTCGAAGGTGAGCAGCATAGTGTTGATGATGTTGAAGACGAAGACGATAACAATGGCGGGAAGAAGAAGAGGAAGACATATCACCGACACACTCCAGCACAGATTCGAGAAATGGAAGCGTATGCTAATTTTCCTCTTCTACGTATTTAAGCGTACAAACAACACACACATATGCATACAGCCATATCTATATAAATATATATATAGAGAGAGAGAGAGAGAGGGAGATGAAGAAGCTGGAAGAGTTAATGGTGAACATAAAATCAAAATCTGGTTTCATCAAGCAATTCATGATTAAGTATAGAATCATCCAACGTAAGTGTTTCTGCAGTTCCATAGAGGCCTGTGTTAATTTCTTCTCTTCTACGTATCTAAGTGAATCTCTCTCTCACACACACATATATGCATATATCCTTATAGACATATATGGGGAGAAAGATGAAGAAGCTGGACGAGTGAGTTAATTGAGAAACGGAAAACATGAAATCTGGAATCCGATTTCATCAAACAGTTCATGCTTAAGCATAGAATTATCCAACTTAAACTGCTTCTGCAATCAAATCTGGTATTTCATCCAGAGCTTGGAGTGTAGAAGATTGAAGTTTCCATGGAAAAGCTGTAATTAAACTATACACAATGATTCTCACGTTTTCAGTGAGCCTGTATTATGATGTGTTCTTTCAGTTATTTTATTCTTTTCTTCTGCACAGACAAGCGAGTGGGGCTATGCTTAATCTGTCCATTCATGGTTCCTTTTCAGTTTCTTGATCTCTTTATATGTGTATGCAAACAGAAATCTATATATACATATTCAATATATTAGGTATGATTTCCATAAATTAATCTGCAGGTTATTTAAGGAGTCTCCACATCCTGATGAGAAACAAAGGTTGCAGTTGAGCAAGCAATTAGGGCTTCATCCTAGGCAAGTCAAATTTTGGTTTCAAAATCGTCGAACCCAAATCAAGGTATGCTTGGTGCCATACATTTTTTTACCTACTTATTAGTCAGGAATCGAAGCTAGTTGATCTTTCTTAAATTGAAACTCTCCCAGCAGAGGATTGTTGTTAACTTTTATTCATGTGGGAATGCTTTGGTGATGCTTGTAGTTGTTTAACTCAGGCTATACAAGAACGCCATGAGAACACAATATTGAAATCTGAAATAGATAAACTGCGTGACGAGAATAATGTTTTGAGGGAAACTGTGAAGAAGCAGTCTTGTCCAAATTGTGGGCTTGTTTCCTCCAGCCAGGATACCATTTCAGCCAGTAATGAGCAAGCACTAAGAAATGAAAACATCAGACTCAAAGCCGAGGTTTCGTAATTGATAGCTTTGAAATGATGTATATATGCCTCAAGAATGCTTGTTTGCCATTTAATCTGATGTGGTTGCCCAGGTTGAAAAACTTCGGTCAGTTATCGCTAAATACTCTTCTGGAACATCACCAAACAGTTCTTCATATCCCTCAGGAACTGAGCAAGAAAGCAGAAGCTCCCTGGATTTTTACAGAGGCAAGTGCGGGATTGAGAAACAGGATATAATAGATGTTGTGAACAAGGCAATGGATGAGCTGATACAGATGGCTACCCTTGACGAACCATTGTGGATTCGAAGCTTTGAGACAGGGCGGCAAATACTGAACTACGACGAGTACATCAAAGAGTTCTGTGGTGGAAATGTCAATAGCATGCAGCCCAAGAAGTCCATAGAGGCTTCAAGAGAGAGTGCTGTTGTGTTTGCTGATCTTCCATGGCTTGTCCAATGTTTCATGGATGTGGTGAGCTCTTCTGAACTTTTATTACCTTATTGAACTAAGAGTATTTAGCGATAACTTACCGAAGTTTTTGCTGTTTATTTGATCTAATCCTTAAAAATTTACAGAATCAATGGAAGGAGCTGTTTCCCTGCCTGGTCTCAAGGGCAGCTGCTGTAGATGTTATTTCCGAAGGAGACGGCTCCAACAGGGATGGCGCAATTACCTTGGTAACAGCAATGCATATCCATCTTGTCGTAAACCAGTATAATTATCTTGTTAGATGGATATTTTGTTAACTCATCTAGCAATTTTGCTAAAAAAACAAAAAAGAAACGAGAGAAAGTGAGAGATTCAGCATTGGATCTGAACCATTTAGACTATTCATATTGCTGTGATAATTTGATGTTCCTCGCACTAGATTTTCTTGGGTTGTAAGGTTTCGAAATGTGTTTGTTTCAGATGTTTGCTGAGATCCAAATGCTCACCCCACTGGTTCCTGCTAGGGAAGTGTACTTTGTTAGACACTGCAAGCAATTAAGTGCCGGTAAATGGGCTGTTCTTGATGTCTCTGTGGACAAGGTTGAAGACAACATAGACTCGTCTCTACAAAACTGCAGAAAAAGACCATCTGGTTGCATCATTGAGGACAACTCCAATGGTCACTGTAAGGTTTGTCGTAAATCAAAGTTTCTGATCCATTTCGGATTTCTTGGTTTTCGATCATCAGTTTACATCCTCGGAGTTTCAGGTGACTTGGGTTGAGCACCTGGAATGCCAGAAGAGAGGCATACATTCCCTCTACCGAACCATGGTTAATAGTGGGCTGGCATTCGGTGCGAAGCACTGGATTTTGACTTTACAACAGCAGCGTGAACGCCTCGTGTTCCTTATGGCTACAAATGTTCCTACAAAGGATTCGAGTGGTAATAAAGTTGACAGTTTTCTAAACTTAGATTTACTACTAAACCGGACACAATGCTTAACCTAATACAGGGGTTACTACACTTGCTGGAAGAAAAAGTGTCCTGAAATTGGCACAAAGAATGACATTGAGCTTTTGCCGAGCTGCGGGTGCATCGAGATACAACTCTTGGAAAAAGATCATCACGAAAAATGGAGATGACCTCAGGGTAGCTTCTCGGAAGAATCTCAGTGATCCGGGAGAGCCCGTCGGGACCATCATGTCTGCAGCTTCGTCTGTGTGGTTGCCAGTCTCTCCCTACACTCTATTCGATTTCCTAAGAGACGAAAATCGAAGAAACGAGGTTTGCTTAATTGCTTTGCAACTACATCCTGGGAGAAATGATTATGATAATCATTCCTGACATCTTGTATAAATGGCAGTGGGATGTCATGTCGAACCAGAACCGATCCCAGTCCATCGCAAACCTGTCGAAAGGCCAAGACCGCGGCAATGCTGTCGCAATCCTGGTAAGAACACAATCTTAACAGACTAAGCCACAGCTGTCGTGATTTCGATAATGTGTCCGTGAATTCAGGCCGTGGAGGCTGAAGAATGCAGCAAAATGTGGATACTACAAGATAGCTGCACGAACGGGTACGAAGCAATGGTGGTGTACGCACCTGTGGACATTGACGGGATGCAATCGGCGATGACGGGTTGCGATTCTAGCAGCATTGGTGTTCTACCGTCGGGATTCGCAATTCATTCCGACGGTGCAGAGTCGAGGGGTTTCGTGATATCTTCGAAGGATGAGGAGAAGAGCAGTGAAGGAGGATCGTTGCTAACGGTTGTTTTTCAAGTTCTTCTCAGCAGCAGCCGCAGCAGCAAGTCTTCGTCTTCTTCCATGGATGATTCAATAGATTCAGTTGAGTCTCTAATGGCGTGTACACTGCACAACATTAAGACAAGTTTGCAGTGCGAAGACTAGACTAGAGATACTAATACTCTAAACACTACTTTTCCATTTAACTTACTACTACTTTCATCATCTTTGTTAAAAGTTTTTTTGTGCAAGTTATTTCCTTTTGTATATTATTTATTTTTTACAATAAATTTTTTACTATTTTTTTTTCAAAAAAAATATATATGCATAAAAAAGTAATATATAATGAAATAAAAATTTATACTGTGCCCTTTCTCAAGTCATCTGTTTGGGGAGAGAGCGTTAAACGAAAGAGCAGTCGCAATATTATATATTCTCGGACGGCAGATGTGGCCGGCATAGCACTTACGTCCCAGATTCTCAATCTCAGCCGTCCATTTGGTCGCACGTTCACTATTTTCCCTATCGTTAATTCTCATTTCCATCGGTTCCATCGAATCTGTTCGTCCGCGAAAATATGGAAGCGATTGGGGTTCTGATGATGTGCCCGATGAACAACTACCTGGAAGAAGAGCTCGACAGGCGGTTCAAGCTATTCCGATACTGGACGCAGCCACGGAAGCGCGAGTTCCTAACACAGCACGGCGAGTCGATTCGCGCCGTCGTTGGAAACGCTTCCGCCGGAGCCGACGCCGTTCTGATTGATGCGCTGCCGAAATTGGAGATTGTATCGAGTTACAGCGTTGGATTGGATAAAATTGACCTGATCAAATGTGAGGAGAAAGGGATTAGGGTTACGAACACGCCCGATGTGCTGACCGATGATGTTGCGGATCTAGCAATCGGCTTGATGCTGGCTGTTCTGAGAAGGATTTGCGTGTGCGATAAGTATGTCAGGAGTGGGAAGTGGAAACATGGCGACTTCAAGTTGACGACGAAGGTATTGTTATTGTTCTTCGTTTTCTGCTGGTTTTTATGTTTCGGTATTTCTTTGATGAATCTCTTTATCCTGAATTTGAGGCTGTTATTTCAGTGACTGTGAGGAAATTGAACGAACATTTATTTCTCTGTGAAGATTTTGGATAGTAGGATCTGCAATTTGAATTTCTTGTAAATTCAGCTGTGATGAATGAAGGTTCTCTTAGGTTTGACTGAGATTTTGATCTTTGCCTGCATAGATAGCCTCTGTTAATGATTGCCCTGTTTATTCAGCTCATGGAAAATATGAAAATCTGGATGATCAATTGTTCATGCTAAATTTGATCTACAAGATGAGAGTTGTGTTTGGTTTCAATCGTACCTTCATTTCATTTGCTTGTTCTATGATTGTGTTTTTATTTGATTTTTCGTTTCTAATTTCATGGAATATTAAATAGTGAAGAAATGGAGACAAAATAGCAAGCTAAACATTCTAAATTCTTTAAATTATTGTTTAATTGGATGTCATGCACCTTGTAAAGGATCAAGACATCAAACTACATGGTTTAGCCTTGCATAAGTTTATTTGATCTTCAAGTTCTTATTACCCGATCCTCAAGATCCCATAATCTATAAAATGAGATTTTTAACTTTAGTTTAGACTGGTAGTTCTCTTGGCATTCATCTTTCATGTTAAGTTAAAGTTTATGTTAGCATCAAGAAGAAAGTCGTTAGTATGTATCAAAGTTGCCGGACATTCCCTTATTGAACCTAGAAAATTTTCCGTTTGGTGCCAAAATATGTTGCCCGAGCACTCGCTTCGACAGTTTTTATCGTTCATTCGTTTTTGTTCAAACACCGGGTAGTAATTTATTCCATCACACTCTTCTTCTTGGTCTTGCAGTTCAGTGGAAAGAGAGTGGGCATTATAGGACTCGGAAGGATCGGATTAGCAATCGCAAAACGGGCCGAAGCATTCGATTGCCCCATCAGTTACTACTCAAGATCCAAGAAATCAAACACGAACTACAAGTACTACGAAAGCTTGATCGAGCTCGCATCAAACTGCGACATCCTAGTTGTAGCATGCGCGCTGACTCCCGAAACCACACATATCGTGAATAGAGAAGTGATGAACGCATTGGGCCCGAATGGAGTTCTGATCAACATAGGAAGGGGACCCCATGTCGACGAACCTGAACTTGTCTCCGCCCTCGTCGAGGGCCGTCTGGGCGGGGCGGGACTCGACGTCTTCGAAAAGGAACCTCACGTTCCGGAGCAACTGTTCAAGCTCGAGAACGTCGTCCTGTTGCCTCACGTGGGGAGTGGGACAGTGGAAACAAGAATTGCCATGGCTGACCTTGTGCTTGGGAACTTAGAAGCCTATTTTGCCAACAAGCCATTGTTAACCCCTGTGGTCTGATCGATATATGATCATTTATTGAATAAAGCTTATTGCCATTGAATGTAACCTTCGAATTATCAGAGACTGAGCAGATCATCACTTCACATAAGGATTCTAGCACATCTAACTTACATACATTATAAACATGGTTTTCATTATATGTATGGAACAGGAACAGGAACAGGAGCAGCTTTGAAGATGAGAAAGCTTAGGGTCTGGAATGTGAAGTATATGAAAGTCCCTTTGGTGTGTGTGAAGAAACACCCAAAGTTGGATCCCACCACACACTGCCAGCCACTCCCATATCTCCGGTCGAATTCCTACCCAATTAATTATATAAGTATTCAGTTAGTTGGTTAGTTCTTAAACCCTAATTTTCAATTTCAATTGCGATTGCAAATACGTAGGTACCTTTTTTATGTGCGCGGCCATGGATGTGCAGTCGAGGACGTCGTAGAGATCGAGAGCGTGGGAAGCACAGGCCATAGCTTCAAGCTGCATCTTCAATGGCATGTCTGCATCCTCTATCAGAGCTTTCCCTTCCAGCATTTTCGTTCGCAGCTGCAGGTACGATTCGGTTGTTTCAATTAATTAATGATTGTTTGTTTGTGATTTTGATCCTTGACTTGTGAGCTAATAGCTAATAATAGAACAAGTGACGACGATGAAGATGAAGATGAAGATGGGGAAGAGGCTTTCATGGCGTGATTCCGTGACTGTCCTCTCCTCTTCTCTCTTTATCTCTCTCTCCATTTCTGTTGTCACTTTGTCTATTATTCACTTTTTTTTCCGTATTTTAGTATGATGATAATTATTGCGTTCTATTTATATATATTTTGAAGTTCTGATAATAATTTTAATTTTATTTTTTTTTTATGTTAAATAGTTTTTTATATATAATATTAACAAATGTTTATTTATTATTAAAAAAATATCTAATAATTTTATTTTATATACTACTCCAGTGCATAATTTTTTTTTAAAAAAATGAAAACCACAAGGAATTACACTTTACAGTTCTTAGAATACTAATATGCTATGATAGTGTTGTCAGTTTTGGAAATTAGGCATTGGTTCCAAAACAGGTACTATAGATGTATCAGTCGTTCGGTCGGTCCGGTCCGGTCGGGTCAATTCAATATTACAGAGTGGCCTATCTGAAAGGGAATTCAATAATATCTATTGGATATTAACTGTTTAAATCTCAACAAAATGAATATAAATAAAATGTGTTTAACAAGTTTATGTAATATATATAATAGTATGATGTATATATTTCTTGATTAAAAGACAATGATGACTAATATGTCATTTCTGCTGGATTATAGATTTATGATTACACATAGTTTGGAATATGGACACAACTTACTCAAATTTGGGTTCTATAATTTTTTACTTTCTCCAGCATCTAAGAGTTACATTTATATTTTACGTCACTGTACTTAATATTAAAAATATTTTTATAATTATATAATTTTTTTGTATAAATGCTCTTCTATTAGTATTATAAGACAATAATGTAAGTATTTTTCCAAATTTTTTTTAAATTTGTACTATATTTTGATATAATAATTAATATTCAAATATCAATACACAAAAAGTAAACAAGACTTTTAGAGTCGGACGGGATAGTATTATATAAAATATTTTTTTTTTACCATTTGCAATATTTTTAAAATTCTTTAAACCGTATCTTACACATACTTATTTATTTACTTTGTAATATTATTCATTATTTGTAAAATAGTAGTAGAAAAATTTCAATAAAGCTAAATATTTACTCCATTCGTCCCAAAATAATAGTCATATTTTCATAAATAATCATATCACTGTAAAATTACTCTTACTTTTTCATTTTTATTACACAATTATCACTATTTTTTACACTAATACATTCATAAGAATAAAAAAGTTTTTTTTTTCATATTTTTTATCCACTATTAATATAATATCAATATTCTTTAAATTTTTATGCTAAACACAAATCAAATTATAATTTTGGGACGTAGAAAGGAGGAATATTCACAACCAAGACGACGCTTTATCCCTTTCTTTGTCCATGTCCTTTGTTCCATCACTTTCGGGCCTTTGTTGCCTAAATGTTTTGACTGTTTTTACCCGCACCTGGGATCTCGACTCCAGCATGATCTTGCCGTTTATCGTTGTCGAAAACCTGTTTTTGGTGGTTCGGATTGTTCTGGGCGTCGAGATCCAGGGAGCTGTTAAAATATAAGTTGAGCGGATAACGATGTGGGAGGATAGAGCTGGTGTGGTGTGACACGCAAATTTATTCTGTCTTTAAATAGTTTATTTTTCAATTTATAATTTGCTTGCCAAACTTTAGGGGATAGTGTCTGAATAAAGAATTTGTCATAACAGTAAAAAGTAGCAAAATGAGGTGGTTCCTTGAGGTGATGATGATGCATTCTACAATATTCTTTTAGTTTGTCTTATCATTATAATCTGTCTTTAACACTCAAAAGTGTGTAAAATTTTTTGAAGTTTTTTAAATATTATCTCTATATATATTATTTATTTACACTATAATCATCACTTATTTAATTTTAATTTAAAATTTACATTATTAATTCTATAAAAATTTAAAATATCTTTTAATAAATTACTATATGTAAATAATATTAAACTAATTTTTTTTTAAAAAAAATAAATCTTCGTACCTTGCGGATGTCGTAAGTAAAAAAGAGCAATTGTAGCAGTAGAACACACCCGACCAGAAGCATCAAGAATTCTTACAAAATTCTACTTTTTTTTTTTTTCCTTCTCAACTAAATTATATAAATAGTTAATTAATTAACAAAATGGACAAACTAATACGTATTTGGTGCGGTTATGATATAGAATTATATCATTCAATATATAAATAATAATATATGAAATATAAATCAATTGTATAAGATTTATATTAATATAATATAAATATATTATATGGATCGATAATATGACGATAGTCTACGAACATGCTTTAAAAAAATTAGATGTAATATAATGAAGTTCATTTTTCTATATCAATTTAATGGAAATAATTAATGGGCTTCGATAAGTTTACATTTTTATGGCAGTTATTGGGCTAAAAGCCCATTTACTGTTTTTAGACCTAACCCTCTAAAAGAATTGAGCTTTAGGCTAAATAAATAAGTATGTTTTTACTTTTCTCCTCCATTAAAGTTACACCGTTATTTTCTTTACTTGTGTTTGTTTGGATGATTGAATTATATTTTCGTTATTTATTCCATTTTTTTCCCTAAAACTATCAAATCAAACATCTATTTTTTATTTTTTATATTATACTAAAAATCAATTTTACATTCAAAACATCACATCAAACATCTATTTATATCACATCGTACAACTATTTAAATTCAAAATTTTTACTATTTAAATCTCAACTCAAAATTCAATTCCCCAAACAAACACACCTATATTTTGTTTTTTTTTTTCTTTTTAATCTTAATCAATTTATGACACAAAGTTTACTATTTTCAAATGTACTCCCACGTACTAAAGCTTCTGTCAGAGTCCAAAATGAGATGGCTCTTTACTAAGTCGAAAACGATAAGGGTATTTTTCACAAAATTGAAAATAAAAAGACTCTCATTGCAATTAGAAACATAACTATAGAGAAATGCACGGATCGTAAAATCGCAGACAGATACGCAGACATACTTCAATAGTAAACAAAATCAGTATTCAAAATAAAATTAAAACGGGTTGGTAGGCTATATCTACGGCATGAAAAAAATAGATACTATGTTAGAATTTGAGAGAAAATTATGAAATTGCATTATTGATCATCTAGAGAAAAGACATATAATTTCATTTTAAATTTAATTTAGACTATTTAGTTATGTTAATTTTAATCTAAAATTATCCTAAAAAGACACAGATAGCTGATACCGAGGGAATACTATTTTTTAAAACAAAATACTCTCTCTTTCGTCTATCCCAAACAAAATTACTATTTTCTAATTTAGACATTGTATCATTACTTTTATACTATACAATAAATATTTTTATTTTTTTACTATAACTTAATATAATAATAATATTAAAAAATTAAAGTAAAAAAATAAATACCAATCTTCCAAGAGGGAGCAGATAATCTCATTTTCCTTTTTATTCTTTTCAAATCATTAGTTTATTAAATAAATATATTTATTTTAAACATAATTAATAAAATTTGTTCCCCCCATAGACTACGTGATGAGCGGCGAGATATAAGAGTAGAAAAAGTTCTGTGCTAGTTTTCATAATGGTTTTGATTGTTAAACCCTTACCCTCACCCTTACCCACCCACCCCCCCACCCCTTGGCCTTGACCCCCTTCTTCTTCTTCCATTTCCATTTTTACTGCCTGCATTCATTTCACACGAATTCATCGATCCACCCTCTGCAGCTTCCAGATCTGCGAGGAACCTCCTCCTATTTGCTTTGCTGCATTCGCCATGTACAGGTTCAGCTTCACTTCAAGATCACTGCTGCTCCCCTTCATCCTCCTCTTCCTGCTTCTCACAACTGCCTCATCACAACTCGAAGATGCCGACGATTTCGAAGACCTCGACCACCTCATAGCGATCGACAACGAGCAGGACGACGGCGCCGTAGGCTCCGACTCCGCGGCGGGGCACGAAATTAGGGATGGGAAAAAATCCGAGGCGGAGGTCGTGAGCAAGGCTCAGAGAATAGTTCTCGAGCTCAACGGCGACAACACGAACCGGACAATTCAGGAGAATCAGTACGTGTTGCTGTTGGGATACGCCCCGTGGTGTGGCCGGAGCGCCGAGCTGATGCCGAGATTTGCTGAGGCTGCGAACCGATTGAAGGCTTTGGGAAGTGGCGTTTTGATGGCCAAACTTGATGCCGAGAGGTATCCGAAGGCTGCTTCCAGTTTGGGGATTAAAGGCTTCCCCACTCTGTTGCTGTTCATCAATGGCGATTCTCATCCTTACACTGGTGGATTTTCAGCGTAAGCGTTTTGATTATACTTCTGTTTTCTTAGCGGAACATTAATGCGTGTTTAGATTTGATCCTTTGTAGGCTTCTGTGATAAATTTGTTCTCACAATGGAGTGGTGATTATGTGTTTGAATTGTTTTCTGATATATGGAGTTTTGTCTGTGAAAAAAAAGGGAAGAAATGGTGATTTGGGCGAGGAAGAAAACAGGAGCGCCTGTTGTTAGGATAAGCTCGATAGCCATGGCTAATGAATTTGTAGAGCAGCAAACTATGTATGCAGTTGGAGTGTTTGACAAATTTGAGGTATGTGGGTGAATTTGATCTATAAATCTTGCTGAAACTGTTGGTGTAATAGGATTATAAGATCGTGTCGATTATTGCTAGTCTTTTCGAGAGGATTGGTACGGAAAAGCTATCCATCATTCGAAGAATGATGAAAATGTTGTTTCGATTCCTTGTGAATGCTTAGTTTTTTGAATGATGAGGATGGGTTTCAAGAGTCATTACTACTTTCGACAAGATTTCAAAATGCACAAAGAATTTTTAAAAACATGCAAAATTTGTGTTCTATAAATGTGGTTTTCGAAGAAATTTTCCATTTCTTATTTGAATAGAAGTTCGATTACCAGTTTTGTTATCTTGCATAGTGGTACTACTTGATCCTATAGTTGCAATAGTTTACGATGAAAGCCATGAACTATTGCAACTTAAAGGGTTAAAATGCCGCGGCAGAAAAATGACGAGAAAAAACTAGTAGCTGAATATGTGTTTTTGGACGGAAAATGCAAATTTCCAATGGTTTTGAATGAGCTATCTATCATTTGGAAACGCTAAACTTACTAGCAAAAATGTTGCCAGGGACTGGAATACGAAGAATTTGTGAAAGCTGCAGTAGCAGACAATGAAATTCAATTTGTAGAAACAATCAGCACCGAGGCAGCCAAAGTTCTGTACCCCGTTGCGGAGCCTATGAAACCGTTCTTTGGTCTTGTTAAGAATGAACCCGAATATTACACCCCATTTGGTAAGTTCTTATTTGTTTTTCCAGACAAAAGATTGATTATCTAATGTTTTGGGGTTTTGAAAATGTAATGACACCTTCGGTAACTCGAATAAATTTCTGAACTGCAATGGCTTTGTTAACCTAGGAATGATCCAATATTACGACACCGAAGAACATGAATCTCTCAAATGTCAATGTTTTAATCCATTTCATGGAAATTTCATCAGCTATATGGTGTTTACATTTATATCTGTTCGATAGATTTCTAATGAAGAAAATTGTGACGTGCAGACGGAGCTCTTCGTTTAGACAGTATCTTGCAATTTTTGGACAATAATAAGTTTCCACTTGTTACGGTAATGACGGAGCTGAACTTGGCAAAAGTGTACTCTAATCCGAATAAACTACAGGTTTGTTTCCTTTCTATGTTCTTATTCACGAAGAACTTACCGTGCCGTAAAATTTACTCTTTCACTTTTTATCGAACTAGGTGTATGTCTTTACTGATGCTGACAACTTGAAGAAGCTTCTTGAGCCTTTACGTAGCATTGCCAAAAAGTTCAAGTCAGAGGTCGATAAAGCTATACACTACTTCTCTTCATCATTTTTCGTCGTATATTTTCCTAATTGATCTTCTTGCAACAGATGATATTTATAGCTGCCGATATCAAAGATGACAACCTTGCGAAGCCATTTCTTACTCTATTTGGTCAGGAAGAGTCCAATGACACTGTTGTAAGAACGATTTCGTATAATGCATCTTCGGGACAGATTCTTGCATCAAATTCTAACAAATTTTCACCGTTTTCGCTAGGTTGTTGCTTTCAACTACAATAGCAATTCTAAGTATCTACTGGAGTCGGATCCCACGTCAGAAAACATCGAAGTAACAGACCTTTGGTTTAGCGATATTTGTTCTTGAACCCATCGTGTTTCTCCTAGCCAATCGTTGTGTGTTCTGTTATTACAGGAATTCTGTTCGCAGCTTCAGCAAGGGACTTTGTCGCCGCACTACAAATCAGAATCTATTCCCGATAATGTGCGCCCGTTGTGTAATTTTCCCTCGGTTTCATTTATTTCCAAGATTTTGAATCTCTTGGCCAAACCTCGGTCTCATTTCTCAAATCCTACATCTGCAGAAAAATGCGAGCATTCTAACCGTTGTGGGCAAGACATTTGACGACATTATCCTAAGAAGTTCGAAAAACATTCTGCTAGAGGTTCGGACACCAAACCTTAAGCTCCTCCCATTTATCTTCCATGTTATGAAATGACTCGCCTCTCTAATTTTCCGATTTCTATTTCATTTCCATTTCTGAAATTGTACTCCTCTAGGTCCACACTCCATGGTGCATCACTTGTGAAACCACCAGCAAGCACGTCGAGAAGCTAGCAAAGCATTTCAAGGGACTGGACAACCTTGTTTTCGCGAGGATTGACGCCTCGACTAACGAACATCCTAAATTGCAGGCAAGAAAACACTTCGACTTATAAAAACTTGTCCAAGAATTGAACTTTTTTCATTATCTCCGACATCCCTTTATTCCAGGTGGAAGACTACCCTACACTACTCTTCTACCCGGCAAACGACAAGACCAATCCGGTAAAAACTAACTCCTTCCTACAATAGAAACACAGTCCCTTTACTTCTTCCGGCACATTTATCATTTTCTGTAAGAAAAAATCTAACTTATGCAGTCGAAGCTCCCGACGAAATCGGGATTGAAGGAACTGGCAGCTCTAATCAACAAGAATCTGAAAGCCCAGCAAGATTCTGTGCTCAGAGATGAATTGTAGACTAGTAAGTAAATTGCATCTTGTGGCTTCATATTTGTTGATTAAAATTTATAGATAATAGATCTAATATATCATATCATATATGGTGGGGAAAGAAGGAAATTATCAATCAATATGGACAAGTAATTTATAGAAAATCTTATCTTAGCTCCTGACTTGGTTAATTTATAAATATATGTGTGAGTTGTGTCATGTATACCTTGTGGGGTTTACAAGTTGAGAATTGCATTTTGAACCCAATGAATTTTTTGTTTTTGGTACCCAACGAGAGTTAAAGCTTCTGGTGTGTTTGTACGGATTAATCAATGTGTCATTCTAAAGGTTATTTTGGCAATTTGATTAATTATGTAATACTATTATGATTAGTTATTTTTGGCACTTTCTTAGCATTTATAGTAATTAACTTTGGCTCTTTTTTCATTTATTTTATTCATCACATTAATAAGTTCCTCAGCCTTTGAATCTTGAACTTGAAACCTATTCGAGTCATAATATTTTCAAATCAAATCCTATTTAAATCAATCCAAATCAAAACTTTGAACTAAGACAGAATTTAATTCATAAATTTCAAAACAAGCTTCAAATAACACCCTACAACTATAAGCACTAAATTTATAGAAGAAATTCGGTAAAATAATTTACAGACACATAATATAATGAAAATACAAAGGATAAATAACGGACCTTAATTAACTAATTGCACGATTTTTCAGACGTAATAATCTTCCACTAACGTCGGTTTCACTTTCTGTCCTTCCTCCTCCTCATCATCATCTTCTGCCACGTCATCCTCAACTTCCTTCCCGAAACTACCCGTATCCTTCGCCCCCGTGTCCACGCAACCTGGTCCAGTACCGGGCGGACCGGGAACCACCACGGCGTCCGGTTTGCCCTCTGCACCGCTGTCTCCAACGGAAACCACCGCATCACGCGGTCCCTCCATCGGTCCACCGCCTTTCTCGACGACGCAGCCTTCGGAGGGAGCATTTACTTCCTTTATCCCGACGAGAGCGTCGGACGAATCCTCCCATGGATCGTCGACGCAGCGGTCGTCGGAGACGAGCGATCTGACTGCGGAAGCCGCCTTCAGGAACGCCTCCTTGATCGATTCAGGCGGCAAGGCGCAGTCCTCGAGGCCGGCGTCTTCCAGCCTCGGCGGCTTGATTTTGTCGAGGAGTGATGCTGCCGTCGCTGCCTCCTCCATCGGATCTGTAACTGTTAGCCTCTCAGTAACCCTACAAATAAGAGTATGGTTTCGCTGTAACTTCTAAATCTGCAACGCAGCTCTGCACTTAAGGACGTATATAAGTAAAGGAAAGGGGAAAATAGCGCTTTTAATAGATGAATAGTGAGAGGACTAAAATGTAAATAAACACCGCCTTTCTATGTATTTCCTTTACATTCTGCAACTGTTAATAAATTGTACTTCTGCCCCCCAATATCTGAAGTAGATAAAAATACCCATCACAAGCTGTTGATTCTCATTCCAATGGCTGCCAAATAAGAAACTACAATTGCAGAAACTTAAAAACAAGTTTTGGACCAACACAAATGGAGGGACAATCCAAACCTTCGTAGAATACATTTCGATGAATTCGTCATCTCTGGTACCATACCAGCAGCCTGAGACACGACTGCTCGACAAAAGGAGAGTGCATATATATATCCATGCCATGCCTGAGAAAGATTTCAGGATGATCGCTAAGCATGTGCAGCAAAAAATGCACTGAAAATGAGCAGAGAAGACTGAAATGCTGCCAATTGGACAATTTTCGTCGGCTATCCATGCATGTACCAAATTGAGAAGAAGGGTAAAGGGTGTAATACTAACATTGACAAGAGGATCATACGGTTGTAATACCAATATTTGGTGCAGTCCAATCCCAGCAATGTTGACACATTGATCCTGTCAGATTTCATGTAGTTTAGTCAGTAAGATACACATCGATCTGGATAACAGTTTTTAGCCTAGCTGTTTTCAAAGTTCAGCGATTCAAAGTCCATCACGAGTGTGCAAATGCTCAAGGCTTAGTACTAACTAAGATCCATGAGTATTGAGTATCTGTATAGAAGATCTGCAATTCGATAATAGACCTTGGCTATCAGAAAAGCTAGAGGAAAATCGACCCTTTTTCATGGAGTATATGTACAAATTTGAAAGATGAAAACAGAAATCAGGTGTAGTTAATATGTTCCTCAAAATTAAGGAGAAATAAGCACAAGATCTTGCCGGTAAAGGATTTCCAGAATAATGTTATATGCATGCCCTGAACATAGACTTACAGCTTACTGCATGGCTTATCGGCCAAGTTGCATATAGACGATAGGGGCATCAAAGACGAGCAGCTCATAACTATAAACAAGAACAAAATTAAATAGCATGCAGTCCACAAATATACATCACATCCATCTTACATTACCTGATGCCATCTAAAATTAAAGGAAGGATATCAACTGCTTGCTTGATTTGCCAAAATCTGAGACATGATGCAGTAAGAAAGAAACCACGCAAAAAGACACTGCTCAATCATCAAGAATTCATAAACAATGCTAGTTTTTCTGTGGAATACATTCACCTTTACGAATTGGTGGCTGCAGAGAACATAGGCATATCTGAGGTACTTTCTTCGATGCTAATTTGCACCATGCTCCTGCTCCACCTGTACCTGTAAAAACAATCAATAAACTAACCTTGTCACATTGTACTAGAACTCCAGCGAATAGAAGCCACAACCAGAGGAATGCGATTCAACGCAAGAGGTGCCGGAACAGCAGCATTGCTGGAGAAAGCAAACTGCGCAGGCCTGCAATGGTGGTGATGCTGGACCTGGAGCAACTCAGGAGGCAGTGGCTTCTTCACTTGATTTCAGCATTTCTGATGCCAACAATAACTTAAAGCATTGCTCTCTCTTTACCTTTATCGTGGATTTCTTTGTATATGCTTCACTGGAACTTTTCTTTGAGCATATGAGAAGAGGAGAGTAAAAATAAAGGGTTCTCAGCAGATACACCATTTTGAGCAAACACTGCAGTTTGAGTATGAAAAGTTTAACGATACAACATAATGCGTGTGCGTTGACAGCCAAGTGTACAAAGTAACAGGTCAAAGAGAATGACTGCCACATAGCAATTTCGCTTGTGCATACAAAAAAGGGATGTTTAGGGGGTTATTAGAACTTGTACCACTAAGAGAAAGAATCTAATAACATGTAGGCATGCACAGAGCCAGGTTAATGTTGTATGACTGCAGCAAGCAAGACACCATTTCTTCCTGTAATCTCAGTGGGTATATGTCAATCATTATTAACTGCAGGAACAAAATATTTATCTAGATTGCTCCAAATTCAAAAAATTCTTGTTGCTACTTGCTAATGCAGATTACACATATTTACAGAATAGGCCAGCATATGGAGTGTTCAAAACGAACCATTCAACATGAATTAGAACAATGACTTGCAATAGAATTATGGTTGTAAGATTCCCTACAAAATAATGGATTTCTGTAACCTATGCCCTCTGAATTTGCTAAAGTTGCCAGACAAGGAACTAACCCCAATTGCTACATCGTCACAAATTTAGTAATTTTTGATATAATTCAGCACCATTCTGTATACCTATTCCTAGATCCCTCAATGAAATGGTCTTTTCACCTTGCGAGTCGGCCACTTTCATAGCTTCTATTAGCATTTGATCAATCAGATGGGCATTCAGCTGTCTGCGTAGATTTTCTGGTGTTACATCCGCAATTATTTGAGCAATATCACAGGTGATGCATGAAGAATCCAACTCTAGCCCGCATATCAAATCATTCTCGCCCTTCTCACTTGCCTTCCTTTGAAGGATAGTAGCCAGTTCTAGGGGGGTCAAGTCATTAAATTGTAGACATGCTGAGAGCCTATAGTAAAATTCATTGTTGAGCTTCATGCATTGATTTAATGCATTGAGATTTCCAGAAAATATAACAACTATATGGCCCTCATCCATTACATCTATGATCTCCTTGAAAGTCTCCAATTTTATGGGGTCTTCGTCAATGTTTACAACCAGTACACCTCTGCCTGCATCTTTCATCTGATGATAACAAGATTCTCTTTTCTTATCTTCTGCGGAAATTGATTTTTTAAACTAAGAGAAAATTTTAATACTTCGTAATTCACCTGTCGACTTCCTTGCATCTCTGTCACAGTATAAGAAGATAGAGCTCCAGCCAAATAAAATAGCTTGGCGAGAATTCCAGCTACCATGGACTTGCCTGGTGTCATGCACACAGAAAATCTCAAAATAAGAAAAATATTAGAAGAATTAAAAGATAACGTCCGTGCTTGCTATGACTAGTTCCATTTATTCTATTTCCAAAAACTCCACAGAAGAAAGAAGGCTCATACAACATTATCTAGGAAACAACACTTCTTTCGGGCTTTATCAATAAATAAGTTCCTTATGAACATATAAAGATTCCTCACATGGCAGCTCAACCATGCACAGAGGTTATTTAAGTTACAGAACTTCATCAGAAACCCCTTATATGCGGCAACCATACCTATGACTGGATGCCGGTAAAGTTTAAATTTAATGTACAAAATATCAGCAATAATAATTATCTGCTTTCATTTTTTTTTATGCTTGTCAACTACGCAAGTCATTACATAGGATCAGACTCCTCCGAGGTAACTTTTAACTGAAGAATTCATCATCATATTTCCCTTTACCATATAAATTTAGAATTATATTCCGTAGCTACAGCTTTTACTTAGTTGGAAATTTCCAATTTTGCGGGAGACATCTTTTCGACAGTGGATGTTCTCATTGAGGTGTGTAAGGAAAATGCTGCAAGCCATCAAAGGTAATGTGGTGTCAAACCAGTCAATATATGCAATCGAAATAAGGTCCATTGAGGATATAGTTCCCAAAACTTACACGCACATTCTTCCCCTTAACCCAAAACTAACCCTTCTTTGAAATTCAGTCAACTGATCTGTATTCGTCATATCCAGACCTAAAATCTCAATTTATCATCATCCAATGCGCTACTCCCCCCAAAACATTAATTAATGCACATAAATACTATCTGAATCTAGTAAGCTTAAAATGACGATAATACCATATAATTTGGAGCTGTACCTGTTCCACTATTCCCTATGAACACCAAATGGAAGGGTTTTGGAGGCACAACCCTTAATCCCTCACTGGCATCTTTCTTTGCCTTAATTATTTTATCAACAACGGATTCTAACTGCTTCTTGACATCTGACAATCCAACGATACTCGATATTTCATGCTTAATCTCATCCAACTAGAGTAAGGAGAAAATATACATACATGAGAACAGTTATTGACCAAATAAAGACCAAAAACTAAGCAAAAACAAAATTTACGATGCACTTTGAAATGAACATACTGTCGGTTCGTCTCCGCAATGGGAATCGCCCTGAATAATCGTCATTTCTCTGCGTCCTTTGGCAGCAGCTTGAGTGTGGTTACGCCAAAATGCAAAAAACAATTTGCCGAAATTGAACAAGGGGAAGGAGGTTGTACCTTTTGAATTCGTCCATGCATTGGAACGCCGTCGTTTTGATATTTCCGCTGCCCTAACGCCAGCACTTTGCCGAATATTAGTATTCAAACGACATTCTATTTGTCCCAAACGATGTCGTTTGCATAAATAATTTTTTTTTTTCTTTTTAAAAAAAAGTTTTACAATACAGTATATTTATTCATTATTTTTATATTATATATAAGTCTCTATATTTTAAATAATTTGTTTTTTTAAAAAATTTCACAAAACAAATACATCAATTATTTTTGTAAAAAAATATAATAATACAAATATGAATAACACAAACAAAAGTATTCTTTTATCTTATTAAGTAATAATAAAGTATAAAATACATATGCAAATGAGTTGTCGAGTGAATGGTTATTTATATGTTCGATTTTTAAAAGTAATGCCGTACAAATAAACACACAATTTGTTTACTTTACATAAAAGTGGTCTTTTAAATATTTTGAAGCACGTGAAAAAAATATTAATGTATTAATTGGTCCATGTTATAATGTATTTAAAAAATCAAAATAAAAAGAGTTTGTTTGGTTTTTTAATTTGAAATTGAGAGTGTTTTTAAAGTTGTTTTTTAAAATATAATATTATTTTTATAGAATATCATATTTTGTAGTCTAAATTATTCTTACTTTTATATATAAATGTATAATAATTTGAGAGTTAAATAATAAATAACTATAACAAAATAGTAGTTCCATAATTATTAGATATATATATATATATAAACCTTTAAATAAGATAAACAAAAATAAAAAAATTATAAATATTAGAAGCCAATGAACAGAGTATTATTTTATTATTTAATACAAATTCAAATTAAAATTTTAATTTTAAATCAAATTAATAGTATTTTTTTTTTATACTAATTGAATAATATTAATTTGTTTTTAGACACATCCAAAGCATCTTTATTATAAAATATACCAGTAAGATATATTTCCCTATCATTTAAAAAGTAAATAATTTTTTTTTTTTGTGATAATAAATATTGTAGGTTAATGATTGTCGGATATAACTTTAAAACTATTTTATCTAAAGTTAAAATAAGATGTAAATAAAGGTTTTGTTTGTTTTATGTTTGGATTTTAATAATATTTTTTTGTTTTATATGAAGTATAAAAATTTGTGTATATAATATAAAATTAATAAAAAAATACATATAAATATAAAAGTATTTGTAATATATAATAAAGTTCTTACGTAATAAAAAATAAATAATAAAAATAACAAAAATACCATTCCATCATATTTTAATTGATATTTTTTTTAATTTTTATTTGTCTTACTTTGATTAACATGTTTTTATTTTTAAATAAAAATCTTACTCCATAAAACATATTTAATAAATATAAATAAATTTAATTAACTACATATATTATGACTCACTCAAACTCTTTTAATTATATTGGTGTATTTGTTTTGTAAAATAATTTGAAGGGATAACTTTTTATGTGAGATATAGTAAATTGTGTAAAAAATATAAAATAACGAATATGTGTAATATATTAGAACAACACACGCTATCAACAACACACCCTATCTTTCTTTTAACAAAAAAATATTTTTATTTATATTATATAAAATTTTAAATAAATAAATATATATTTTTTTTTATCTTTTTATATTATATAAAATTTTATTTTTTATAAAATAATATACATATTATAAATATATTTTTTCGATATAAATTTTAAATATTTAAATATATCTTCTAAAATTTTAAATATATATATTAAATTATTAATATTATTAATCACGTATAAAATAATAAAATAATATCATATTAGTATGTTATCACTAATGAAAATATACATTTACCAAATGAATTGGAGAGAATATTTTTTATTAAATAGTAAAAAAACTAAAATAAACAACAAACTCGGAGAATCTTTAAACCACTTGGAAATACTAGTATTATTTTAACGAGCGGGGGTAACTTTGTAATTGAACATCGCAGGCCCACGCCCGTGGCCACGCATGACGCACCACGAATCAAACAACAAAGCGAAGTGAAATTACGAAAGTACCCACGGTCGTGGTCAACATGACATATGTCTTAAGAATAAGCAATTTGTTAATTCGTTGGTTTCCTCTGAACAGACTAACTACACAGCGCCGAAGTGTGTATTGCATATCTGTATTTCATTAATTAATCCTTCCAAACCTAAACCAAAAGAATCCTTAAAACGAAAACCTACCCGGTGAAACAGGGAATTTTTCCGTTTCGGGATATTCCTAAAGCTCCGGGGAGAGGAATGAGCATATGTGTGTATGTATGTATGTATGTATGTGAATGCGCATTTATACCAGCCGCACCGATAACCTAGCGGTTCGGGAATCAGGACTGGATTTAATTCGGTCCCTACTTGCAGTTTCCGCATCCAATTTGTCGGTTTTTTTTTTTTTTTTTTTATGCGTTTGTTTGTGGTGTTTTTGTATCTGGGTTTGATTTCCTTTCATTTTTGGGGGCGATCGAGTGGGGAAATTGGTTTCAGGAGGATTTTGATTGAGGGAGATTTGTGTTTTTTCTGTTTTGATTGAATTTTGGATGAGTGATTGGGGGGTGGTGTTGAAGCGTGAAGTGATATTTTGAGCTCGGGAGAAATGAGTGGCAACGAGAGGCAGTCGGTGAGTGTTCGAGACCTAGTGGAGGAAGCTAAGAAGCGAGTGGTTTTTCTGGTTGTATCTGTGGTTGGACTGTCCTACCTCATGTCATGTAAGTGATTCTATGTTCAGAATTTTGATCTCCTCGATTTTCACTGCTTCTGTGGTTCATGTTTTTCGCATTTGTATATTTATTTGTAAATTTGATAGAGAAATGCTCTGTTTTCGATTCTTTATGACCAATTAAATGTATGTAAGAGCAACAGAATAGTCGTCAATTTCTAAAATATTGAATGGTTTAAGGGGATTTAAAGTGAACATATGTAATGCTCTACATTAGCTTTATTTCCCTCTTTTCTTGATGATGTTCTTGGCCTTTCAAAGTGGTAATAGAATTTGGTAACTGGGGTAGCTCTGAAGACATTACTCTTGTAGATTAAACCAAACAGCTTGCAATATGAGGTCCAAAGTAGTTATTACAACAAAAACTGAATTGACAGGGTTGCTAATTTTTATTTTGCGAGCACAGAGGACATTTATTGTGTCGGTAAAGCTAATGGTCTTTGTCAGTAGGTGCTTGACATTGAGCATGCATTTGTTCACATTCCATCCACTGTCAAGGAAACATGAGAAATTTGGTTAGTGCGTCATAGAAATGAAAAATGGGGGTCACTTTATGGTGTATGATAGATATTTTGCATAGATGCTGCTTGCAAAATTGCTTGAATTATGTAGTTCATACCAGAGTATTTGGATTTACTGAACCACTGAAGCTGCATTCTAATTTGTTATAATGCATATTTGAAAGCTCGGTGAATCTGATTGAATATGGCTAATAACCTCATATTTTAACCTTTTAAAAATAAAGTTGCATGCATAGGGTTAAAAGTTTATTGTAATTTGAATGAAGTTTAAACAATCTCGAATTTTCTTTTCACTCTAAGCGACCTCAAATTTACTCTTTCTTTTCGTGATTGGCAGCACAAGGAAATAATTCACTTGTTTGATCAACATGGTCTCATTTTTTTCCCCCTTCCAACCATCACCGACAAAATGACTCATGAACGCATTTTGAATTTTTGAAGTGTGCATTGAGATTAATATGGAATCTTTAGTTGGTCCCTTGACATATTTTAATGAATACACTCTTGCTTTTAAGTCCATGTTACAAAAGCTACATCTATCACTAGTTTGTTGCGCCTCCGGCAATCAACATAGTGAGGAGAAAGGAAATCCTGCTGTATACATTGATTTTGATCCTGTCTTAGCTTGTGCATCTCTTTCAATAAATAGATTGTATAATTTGTGAACTGTATAGAAGGTCCTTTCTTTTGTTTTTTCATTTCTTTTTTGCATACCCCCGTTGGATATTTACATTTATTGTGTCAATTCAATGATAAAAGGATAAAAGATAACAACATAAGTAATTGAGTGTCCTTTCTACTTTCTAATACTGTAACTATTGGTTTTATTTATTACTCTATAAAAAGTGGGGTATGCATCTGTTTCCCATGCATGTACACAACTGAATTCCCATTGGATAATGTAATTTGTATGCAAATTGTTTGGAATAGAAAGAATCTCTCTGCTTTCTTCCTCTTTATATGCTGTGTCGATTATCCTTTATTGGCATCACTAGCTTACTGATCGTATTTATTATGGAGTAAGAGCGTGTTTGTGTTTCAATTTCTTTTTGTACTCATAAAGTTTGAAATGGTGTTGGTTATTTATTAATGACTATCCAAATATAAAGGTCAATCAATGACCAACTCTGAGCACCTATCTGCCTAGTTATCACCAATTTAGCTTTATATACCAACAGTTTTAGCTTTTAACTTCTGTTTTTCTCATTCAGTGACGAGTCCATCTGTTCTAGTCAACCTGCCTTGTGCTCTAATCTTAATAGTCATAGCTCGCTATTTGTCTCTGGATTTTGATATGCGGAGGAAAGCCATGACTTACAAAGGCAAACAACCACCTGAAACCAGTTCATCCAGAAAGCCTTTAAAGATCCCCACAATTCCACCTGAAAGGTCTGACTGGAAGCTTAAGGTGAATTCTCCGGTTGTTGAGGATGCTATTGATCAGTTCACCAGACATATTGTCTCTGAGTGGGTGACAGATTTGTGGTACTCACGCATAACCCCCGATAGACAAGTTCCAGAAGAGCTTGTACTGATTATAAATGGTGTACTAGGAGAAATTTCAAGCCGCATGAGAAATATTAATCTCATTGATCTTTTAACAAGGTTTTCACATTCAGATATTTTATTCATCAGTTTCTTCTTTACTGAAATAGAACCAGAAAGGTATTTTAAAGATGTACATGTTTCATGATACTGTTTAGGGATATTATCGACATACTATGTAATCGGCTGGAGCTCTTTCGTGAAAGTAAGGCAAAGATTGAAAAGCATCACTCCAGATCATTAACCATTGAGGAGCATGATGAAAGATTGAAAGCTGTTTTGGCAACCGAGTACAAATTGCATCCTATAACTTTTTCAGCTGAGTCTGAGCACAAGGTTGTCTCTCTTTCTGTGTGTTTTCTTTCAGTCTTACTACTGGCACACCAACGTATGGTTATTATGAGTGATAAATTTCTGCTTTACTCTGAATTTTAATGCAGGTTCTTCAGCATGTTATGGATGGCCTTATTTTGCTTACATTTAAGCACGAGGATATGCAGTGCTCCCTTTTCCGTTATGTTGTTAGGGAACTCCTTGCTTGTGTGGTAATTAGACCGGTGCTAAATCTTGCTAACCCAAGGTGAGCAAACTCTTAAATGATGTGATTCTTAATCTGCATTCTGTCCATTCTTTATGTTTTGCTAAATTTAATTTCAGGTTTATTAATGAGAGAATTGAATCTCTAGTTGTTTCTGCTAGAAGAAATAGCAAAGGAAATACTGCAACAAGCAAAGAATCACAACCTAAGATAAGCACATCTCCAAAAACTTCTTCTGATCTGTCTTTGCAGTTTCCAGATCCTTCCATTAAGGGGGTTGAGTTAGTGCAATTGAAGAAGGATCAAAGTAACAAGTCAGATAATACTAATGGAGATCTTCTTTCAAAGGATCCATTGCTTTCCATGGATACACGATCCACCCGCTCTTGGAGTGCTTTGCCAGACACTCATGGCAGTGAAGTGAAAGGTATTCAACGACATCGCTCTGGGGGGGAATGGGGAGATAAGCTAGATGATTTCTCACGAAGAAAAACTGAAGCCCTGGCTCCAGAGCATTTCGATAATATGTGGACTAAGGGAAGACACTATAAAAAGAATGAAGATGCTAACCAGGTGACTGATCCAACGCATGGAAACTCATTAGTGGGAGCATCTAATCCTGTCGAGTCATCTAAGGTTCCTTCTGAAGTGAAGCAAAAACAGTTAGGCACAGTGACAGGTGGCTTGAAGAAAGATATATCCAGTTCTGGATATAATAAAGACACGACAAGCAATGACAATACTAGTATGCACAACAACGCCTCAAATGAGAGTGGCATGTTACCTTTATGTGAAGAAGAGGATCTTCAAAGTTCTTCTAATGAGGATGAATCCTGGAGCAGTGATTATACTGAGGAGGATGACTCTAGCAGTGCTATGGGTCTTGACTCACCCGGCGTCAAAGTTTGGGATGGTAAAAATAAGAGAAACTACAGCCACATTCATCATCCCCTTGAAACTTTTGATAAACACAAGAACAAAACAAGAAGAAAAAACCATCTCCCCACTAATAGATTGCACAGAACGAAATCTGCAAAGAAAAGATCTAAACCTAGTAGTAGTCATAATGGGGATGTCTGGCAAGAGGTCGAAAGGTCAAGCTTTTTGTTAGGTGATGGACAGGATGTATTAAATTCTCCTCGAGTTATTGACAGATCTGGGGACTCGAGTGAGGACTCTGAGTCAGAGTTGTTGGGTAGAATTGCTAGTGGGGCTGCAACTTCATCATCTATTTCCTTGTCTTCATTACCTGAAAATCAGATTTTAGCTGCCAGTTCAGCAAAAACTTCATTAATTGCTGATTCTTATTTCCAACTGAGATGTGAGGTTGTCTCATCATGCCTTAACCTTATTTCCAATTTACTTAACCATGTGTCTTATGCTTGTTGGTTAATGTTTTGAAGAATGGAGAATTTCCCTCTTCAGGTATTGGGCGCTAATATTGTGAAAGGTGGATCCAAAACGTTTGCAGTGTATTGCATAGCTGTGACGGACTTAAACAATCACAGTTGGTCTATCAAAAGACGGTACTGGCATATTCTTAGAGCTTTCAAAATTTTATCTTCTATTCTATCAAATACTTGTGTCAGGTGTTTTCCATAATTTTGGTTGGTATTGTGTTTACGGTTCAGTTTTCCCATTTGAGTTGGAGTATGAGGTGAGAATTATGTCACATACTACTATGTCATAATTAGTGGTTTTATATTTGATTAGAAAAGAAAAAGAAAATTGATGAGAGAAGATAGCACAGGATATATTTACTCAACAGATTTCTAGTAGTAGAAATTTCATGTATTGTGGATTTGGGATGGGTGGGATTTACTCTTCATGAATGCCTGTTATTCAGCTAATAGATTTCTCATATCAACAGATTCCAACATTTTGTTGAGTTACATAGGCGTCTTAAAGCGTTTCGAGACTATGATCTCCATCTGCCGCCAAAGCATTTCCTGTCAACTGGTCTAGATTTGTTAGTCATTCAAGAGCGATGTAATCTACTTGATCAGTATTTGAAGGTTGTCTTAACTCACTAGATGTTATTTTCTTTCTTTTCCTTTTTCCTGCTTTTCACCATACTGTTTAAAATTTCATCTGCTTTCCTCTCCGTGCACACATTACACAAATTATATGTGTATAGAGTATAGACAACATTTGGATAATTATTATTTTGAAACTCTGTGAAATAAGGAGACCTCAAGTAGAAGTACGCAACCTACAATATAAAGGCTTGTGGCAGATCTTTTTTTCTTGGGCATGCGAGCTTGTAGGTGGTCGGGGTTCCTTCTTACTTATTTATTCCGAAAGTTTCTGTAATAATTTAAAAGCTAAGTCAGAAGAATGTGACCTGAAAATAAAGGAACTAGTGTCTGACTTGTCAACCTAGATAAATGAAGATACACTGTGGTACTTGATTTAACTATAGACATTTATGGTGTCGCTAAATGAACATTGAAGATCCTATTATTTTGTCTGTGCAGATTGCTTATGAGTCAGTGATGCCAAACTTATAATGTCAGATTTGTACCAACATTACTTATAATACCTAAAGTGGGGAAGCATTTAATAGCACATTCTATCTGACCTAGGGTTACGAAACAGTTGGCTTCCATCTATACATCTTTTGAATGAAAGCTTCCATCTACATAGGTGTATGCTTAATCTCATTACATAATTTTGTTCTTGTTTGCTTTGTATTAAAACCTTTCCTGGTTGTCATTTGTTACTGAATAATAGCCACTTTTATGATCCTCAGTGGCTCATAATATATCAGAGAGCACAATTTGGTAGGATCAGTATTTAGTAGTTTCTGTATGTTAAACTTGATATTCTTATTATTTTCAAATACAACAAAACAATGTCACATTAAATTTGGTTGCTGGATTAGAACTGATCCGGTTGATGCAAGGGTTTTCTTCTATGCTTGCCTCTTTATATCCATGGTTAAATGATCTGCACTAATGGACGTTCGAATAGACATTTTGATAATCTACTTTTTGTTCAGAAACTTCTGCAGCTACCAACTGTTTCCTGCTCCATTGAAGTTTGGGATTTCCTTAGTGTTGATTCTCAGGTTAAACCTTTTCCAATGGATAGGGTGTCTCTTTGTATGTTTCTAATTTGTTTGTCACAGTTCATGATTTCTGACATGTTATATCTCTAAATTTCAGATGTATGTATTTTCAGATTCATTATCCATAATTGACACTATTTCAGGTGAACATTCAAACATAAAAAATATTCTATGTTTCTCACTGTACAGTTCTTCAGAGTTCCAAACCTTTTCTTAATTGCAGTGGATCGTGATGAATCGCTAGGTGACAAGAGCAAGGACTACCGCGGTAATGTGGGGTCAGCAAGTGATCCATTGTCTTCCAAAAGAGATCATTTCAGTAACACAAACCAAAATTCGTCATCCCAAATAAAAGGCAGCCAGGTTCTTGGTGAGTCAGCATTGATAACAAAAGGTCAAGGACTTCCTTCAACCAGAAAGGCTGAAAAAGAATTCAAATCCAATGGTGGCTCAGAAAATACAGATAAAAAGAATGTACAAACCCCGAGAAACTTGGAGACTGCTAACAGTGACCAACAAGAATCACCTGTGGCAATCAACAATTCCCCTGATCCAACCATTCCCAGTGAGGTCATCTACAACTATTCCTTGTTTTGCCTAGATTTAACTGGATTCAAATATGCTTTTATGGATCAACCTTCTTTTTCTTCAAAATAAATATATAAAGTCAAATCATGGTGTTATATTTAGTTGCTTGTCTTTTTATTCACAATCTTAATATGGATTTCTCCACCCTGACACAGTGGGTACCTCCAAGCCTAAGCGTTCCCATATTGAATTTGGTTGATGTCATTTTACAACTCAAAGATGGTGGATGGATCAGGTTTTAACTGAATATATATCCGTAAAAAGTTTGTTCAGTTACAAACCTTCACTATCTCTTACTTTGCGTGTGTGCATTTGGAGTTATTTGCAGGAGAAAAGCTTTTTGGGTTGCTAAGCAAGTTTTGCAATTGGGAATGGGAGATGCCTTTGATGATTGGCTGATTGAGAAAATCCAGCATCTACGCAGGGGACCTGTGGTTGCTTCTGGCATCAACCGGTTGGAGCAGGTAGTTTCGATCTCTTCTTGAAAATCACATAATTCATCAAAGTTGGTGATTTATCTTTTAATTCATAATCTTGTGAAGTGTATGTAATGTATTTAATCTTTAAGATCGATTCCAACTACCAAATGAGCTCTAGTAAGTTGTTAACATAGACGGCATAGGCAAAATGCTGCATATGCGTGTTGTGAAAAGATTTCCGTTCACTTTCTAATGGAATCTTAAGAACCATCATAAACTTGTGTAAACAGATACTATGGCCTGATGGAATATTCATAACAAAACACCCAAGGCGGCAGCAACCACTGCCACCGCCTGATAGCCCATCCAAAGGTTCTCCTGGGGGTAAACCTCCCACACCACATTCTTCGCCGAAAGTAACAGATGCTTTGAAGCTGGAGGAAATGCAAAGGAGGGAAGCAGAACGGCGTGCCAAATTTGTTTATGAACTGATGATTGGTAATATTTTATGCTGTTTTGGTGTGATCGGTTCTTGAATTTGTTATTGAATATTTGAACGGCACTCTTGCAGATAAAGCCCCCGCTGCTATAGTAGGCCTTGTTGGGCATAAGGAATATGAACAATGTGCAAAGGATTTATACTACTTCATTCAGGTTATATTTCTGTCTTCGAACTTCTTCATATTTCCTAAGCAATGCGAAAATGCAGGGTTGTCCTCTTGTCGTTGGATAGTGTCTAATTTACCTCATTATGCATTCTGTTCTTAAACTTTATATATATAGATATACCTCTATCCTATATATATTTAGATATCCGACTTTATCATATGAATCTGCTGCAATCAAGTCTAATGAATAACCTAATAACCAACCTGTGCTTGTACAGTCGCCTGTTTTCATGAAGCAGGTCGGTTTCGACCTCCTTGAGGTGCTGCTGGTGTCCTCATTTCCAGAACTTGATTCTACTTTTAAAGAGTTAGTTCGAGAGAAAGACAAGTTCGGCGTTCCCAAACCGAATTAAAGATTGAAAGGTAAAAGCAAATTTGCATCTTCTTGTCTGAAGAGTTAGTTGCCATAAAGATTTGGTTCAATTCAAGTACATACATAGCTTTGCTCCATTGATACACACACACATGCTTCGAGTATATAACAACATTCTACTTTGTCCTCGTACTTGGTGCTATATTGATGTGGATTCAATTGTCAAAAGAGAAAACATTGTATACATGTATTTTTGAGGCCCGTAAAACAGAGGGAGCCGGAAACTGGTAAGAGATCATATGCATGCCATTGTGCGATATAATCAAAAAAATTTTATAAGCGACTCTCTGATTGTTGTGTATGGTTTTTATTTAATCAGTGATTAGATTTAATATGTCAACACTGTATTATTTATTATGTGAAATTTAATTTGATTGTGTTGTTATGTATCTTTCTGGAATATATATATATATATATATTTTAGCTAATCATAAATTGTGCAATAATGGATTATTGCGTTTTCTCCGTTATAAATATTTATTATCGAAAATAGTCAAAAGCAAAATATGCAAACATCATTCTTTTATGTTACCGCTTCTCTATACAGAAAATGGAGCTTCTCTCCTATCACAAAAAGAAACAGGAAAGAAAATGGAGCTTCTCCATACAAGAACACCTAAATTTAAAATCTTGTTTATTTAATTAAAGAATTCATAAGCAACTTTTAAATATTCTATTTTAGAGTAATAAATATGTTGGTGATACTTCATACAATAATATAATTTATATGTAATCTATTATCTGAAAAATAAATATATAATACATATTTTTAGATTACAGCATAGTAAAAATGAATATACTCTTGGCATTATTATTATTACAATTTTAACAAAAAATACATTCCATTTTCTCTAAATATCAACATGAAATACTAATTTCTTTTATTACTATTCAAATTTACATTTTCAAAACCTATATCTAGACAATCCCAAATCCTCCTCTTTTTGAATAATAACTTCCAAAAGGTGTAATTATCTCTAATCTTCTCAACACATTCTTCTTTGCAATGCAGTAGCATTTCAAAGAAAAGATGATGATGATCCAATCCACAAATTATGGCATATGTTGGGGTATATTTTGAGTTGTTTTGGAAAAAACACAACCAGACAAATCCAAAATATTGTAACAGATGCTTTGATAGAGCTCAAATTGACATACTTAAAAACGAAATTTCAACATCAGAAAGAAGAGTAAAGGAGATTCAGTAATGATCTTTCAAAACACACTGATCAAAATGTCAACATCATAAGGGAGAGTAACAAAATTGGAATTGAAACTAAATTCTCAAATAGGTAAGGTAAGATTGCCCCTGCAGTGGCAAACAAACCGTCGTTCTTGCGCCCAGATAAACATACCAACGAAATGTTCATTCAACGTCGAGCACCCTCAAGCTCTGCCTTTAAGAAGAGGCAGAGGCCTTCTTCCTTGGTGCAGCTTCGCTACCTGATTCATTGGTTGATCGAAGAAAAATGAGACAGATGTACTAAAATGACCAAACATCGGAAGCCAAAACAGTATAATAATTTGCCGAAACAGAAATTCAGAACCTTCTCTGAAGTTAGTCTTGAATCTGCGGGGCACGTGGCGAAGATACCTCATTCGTCCCGTGCCAGTGGTCTTTCTGCGGATCGCCTTTATGCTCCAATTGTCTACAGTGCAAATTATGCATCAGTCACACTATGATTACATATATTTTCAAATAACTTTTGGCACTATTCATCAAATATTATATTTTTTTTAAAAAAAACCCCTTCAATTAATTACTTCATCTCATAAAACATCACACCAAATATTAAACTTTTACGATTCTACAAGAACTTTCAAAAGATATCTAGACAGAACTTTTACTACTGCCCAGCCTAACTGTAAGATACAATAACCATATAGCACTTCAGTTTTGATTTTTCCAAGACCAAACTTGAAAATATGAAAAGCTTGAATATGAACTATGAAACAACATAATCTCTGGCAATCGGTTTAACCTTTCTAACAAAGTGATTGCTCCCAACAAAAGATTAAATAAAATCCATTGTTTATTCTTATTATTTACAAACAAGAAACTAAAACAAAAATAATGACCACTTGGGCATAATATTACAATTTACTCATAAGCTATGCACATGGAAATCATATATTATGAATTTCCACGAAATCAGAATCTCGTGTTCCCATAGCAGCAAAAAAACAATGTCAAAATATAATAATCACAGAAAAGCACATCTAAACGGTAAAGACTTCCTAGATCAGAATGCCAAAGAGATCAAATTTCACGAACATACATACATAATCAGTAGAAGAAAACCACGAACACCTTATTCGCGCGTAAGAGCATGGATCACTTAGTACAAAACATCAGAAAAAGCACAAATAAAAATAGCTACATACACTTTCTTATGCGAGCGGCTGGGAACGCACAGGCGGAGCATCGGCTCTTCTGAACGTGGAAGCTGCGGCGGCCGCACCTCACACACAGTACGTGCGTCTTGTTCCTCCTCTTCCCAAAGCTGCCCGTTCCTTTCCCCTACAGAATTTATCCACACACATAAAAAAATTACAACATCACGCGCGCACACACATAGAAAAACTCAAGCATTCCGAATCAGATCGGTGTATAAAGAATCTACCATGGCCGTGAAGTTCCCAAAACCCTAGCTCTGAGCCGCGAGTCGGAGGAGATGCAGAGTGAATGCCAATTGAGGAGGGTTAGGTCAAGATATTGGCAACTTTTATGGGCCTAATTTAGGTCGGTTTATTCAATGCGGTGGCCCGTTAAGGTCCATAATTGGGCTTACCATATCAATCTTTAATTTGGGCTTTATTAATGGGCCTGGTTGAGGCCCATGTTTACTAATGCTTTGTCATTATCTGTAATTGAACCGATTTAGACTGTTCTATTGGGCTTTCTTAAACAATCCAATGAGGCACAGAATGCCTATTCTGTTTTACTTATTTGTGCAAATTTACTTTAATGAAAATGATTATTGATTATGTTTATTACTTTTTTTTTATTATTATTTTATTTTAATAATTTAGAGGTATGTTTTGTTTGTGTTTCCAATTATTCGAGGTATTTTCAATTTGATTTTTTCCTTTTAAAAAATTATGTTTTTAATGAAAAAACATATTCAATGTAATGCTTGAATGAATTGAATTTATATTTTTAAGAGATAATATATTGTTTGTTTGGGAATTTTTTACAGTGGTTTGGTACTTACAAATAGAAATTTGAATGAATATTTGATGTAATTCTTTTTAAAATTTTTTTAAATTAATTTCAAGAAAAATACAAATACCCTTACTTTAAAATATAATTAATTATATATTCATATTTTTTAGCATAACTATTGATTTGAAATAACTTAATCCCATCAAACTCAAAAAATATAATATTTCTAATTAAATTAAGCAATTGATTAAACAATATTATCCACCTTATTGAATATACTACTAAAATTCTAGGATAAAATACAGCTTAGGATAAGTTAACATTACACACATTAACAATAATGGACCTGAATCAATGTGGCTGTACTGAATTGGGCCTTATAAATTACTACCTCCGTCCCATATATTTTGAGCTTATTACTGGATACGAGAATTTAGATAAAAAAAATATAATTATTAGGTAATTAAGAAGTGTATTAGTAAAAATAATTATAAATTAAGATTAAGATAAATAAATAATTTAATTAAAATAAAAAAATTATAAAATTTAAAATTTAAAATTTAAAATGAGATTAAAATACATAATTATATTTTTAAAAATAAAAATGATGGGATTAGACAAAAAAAAAATTATGTGGAAAGGAGGAAGTAATCAATCAGTACATAAAACCCGAAAGACAGATTAATAAAGCTACATTTCCAAGATTGATTTCATGATGGTAATCAAATGACACATTTTCATTAGTGTGCACACCAGATAAACTATAGCGCAATAGTATGGAATAAATGACAAGTACAGTAACATGGCGACAAGATTACAATATTCTAAGTTAGAACAAGCTTTAATGCAGAGTTGAAATCTGCCTGCCTAATCAATTCCACAATGTCAAAGTAGTTGAGGTTGGAAGCTTCTTTCATGGATGATATATAAACATATATACATTCTTAAGCTAAAAGGGGAGCAAAGTTTTGGCCCACTAGATTGCAATATACTCCAAAAATAATTTCAGCAAATTTCCACAGGTTGGTTTAGTTTACAAGCTGTCCAGCAGGTTGATTTCATTTCATACCAAAAGTCTACTCATACCAATCTGATACTAATCAAGATCTACAAGCACAGGAAACAAGCTCATATTTCCAAAATTCAATAAAAAAAACATTTTTAGATTATTTAGGTAGTGACAAATTGAAACCAGCTAATGCAAGAATCACTGGTCAGAAAGCACTAGGCAGTAAGCAATCCAACCATGGTGCGGAACTGTATGAAAGTGACTGTTCTATGGAGTAGTTAAAAATGGTTCTAGCTTCTTATGATTATGTCAGACTTGAATTTTATCCAACTTTTCTACCAACATGGAGTGCCTAGCTTCTTATGATGGTAGGGGTCCCAAGCAAGTATAAATGCTACTATAAAGATTCTGGAGATTTATTTTTATAGAGGGACATCCAGCAAACTTTAAATTCAAGTACTTGGATTAAGCTCTACTACAATGATTATGTCACACACCTTTTATTCTGTAAAGAGGGATTTATCTAATTAATCCATTGTTAGGGCCCATTTGGTGTAAACTAGCAAAAGAAACTTAGAACTGCTTTAGAATCTGACATAAAAACTAAGCATAGAGGTAGGTAATAGTGCTTTCCTAATTTTATTTTATTTTTTTAAATGAACTTTAATAATTTTTTCCTAATGACATGACAACACTTTAAAGCAGCAGGAAGTCAAATAATTATCACTAGGAATATATATTTTATTCATGTCCTTTTAACACAATATTAGAAGGGTAGGAGAAGCAGGAGGAATACCTCATTTAGCAAAATCAATGGTGTCTGTGAAGAAGGAAGTTTCAGCATTCAAAGTGGGTAGAATTTCCTGAAGGAACGACATTGAAACCATTTGTAAGAAAGGTGTCATAACAATCAGCCTGTAAAAAGACAGCGTAGGAATAAAAGAACCGAGGGGGCAGAACTAAGTATTGTCAATTCATTATTGCTTTCAAGGTAAGCAAAAGAAACTTACTTGCCATGTATTTCTTTGTTCAATAATGCAGTTTCTTTAACACAAGAACAAATCCAACAAAGTTTGGAGATTCCTGTCACTGCAGAAAATGAAATAATGATGAGCAGGAAAACCAGCATATCACAAATGATTATCAAAGGAGCCGCTTACAAAATCAAGAGATTCTTTCACAAAACATTCAGAAATTTCAGATCCTTTATATCTAAAGAGTATGAAAAGCTACCTAAGACTCCTACACCAAAACCCATCTTTTCTGTCAGCAACAAGATCAATTCAAGTTTACAGGACCTGGACAACTTCTACCAAGGTTTCTGTGAACATTGGGATTCCATGGACGAAGTGAAGAAGATAAATAAACACTTACCACCAAAAGTGCAGAGAAAAGCAGATGAGCAATGCAGTAAAAGCTCCATGAGTACAGCAGATTGCAGTGGATTAGATGACTTATATGAAGACATTGAGACAAGAAGTAAGATAGGAAGAAAACAGGGAAAGAATTCTGACCTGTCTGTACATGCTCTTTCTCAAAAGATGAAAGAATTGGAGATGATGGATGTGAAGGACATGGATCAAGTTCTGGATGTAGAGGAGGTCCTCCATTACTACTCCCGTCTCACCTGCCCTGCTTATGTAGAAATTGTTGACAAGTTTTTCATGGATATATATGCAGAACTCAATGTGCCGGAGCAATCCAGGAGGGGCAAGAGTTTAGTGAGGAAACTGAGTTCATCCAGTGTTCCAACGGCAAGTCTTGACTCACTAAAGCTATAGGCATATCGAGTTAAGACACTCATTTTATGTGTATGTGAATGGGTGTAAGCCCATTTGTGATTTTTAAATTTCTTCACTGTATTCTCTTTGTTTTCTAATTGCCTGCACTTTCACCAATAATAGTGATATCTAGTATGAAGCTCTGATGAGTCCATAGCTATCATTTTTGTGTTAGTTCATAAGTTCACTATGCAATAGAGTAATTCATAATAGAAGTGCTTTATCTAAGCAAAAATCGAGCAAATTCTTGCTGATTTATTTGCTGAAAAAAATTTGTCAGTTACTTAAAATCTATACAAACAGATAACGAAACTTTAGAGTGCAGAAAAGCTATACAAGATAAGCTTCCAGGCAACTTTTTTCAGTTCACTTTTCGGCAATTTAATCGAACCTGACCCATTGGAGCTGTGAGAACTCGAAAGTTGGAGAGCTTGATCATTGCATGGCCAAAGTCCCCTTGGAATAGGGAAGTGTCAGCGGCATACGCCCGGACCCAAGTTGCCGTTTCTTCCCCAACTGTTAGTTGCTGATCAACAAAGAGTAATCCTTTTCCTCGTAGAAGACTACGGTAGTACAGTGTGCCAAAGCCTGTCCCAGGTCCCTCATAATCCATCTGCATTCCTGGACCATCATTTAAAGCCGATGATTCGTTGTGTGGTGATGCTGTTGAAGATGATGATGTTGATGATAGTTTAGACGATGATATAGACTGGTTGTTGTTGCATATTGATCTCAAAATGTTGAGAAAATTGGTATCGATGGAAGGGTCAGGTCGATTGGTTCCACTGAAGTTATAGAGGCGATCCGAGAAGAATTTGCAGTGAATTGTTCCTGTGCTGTGTGCGCCTGTTGCAGCAAGAGGGGACAAGATCAATAGCAAGGCGGGAAAAAATTAATTAGAAAAGGAATCCACTCTAAAACTAGTTGGTAACAAGGGAGACATGATGCAATAGTCTTAGCAATCAATGGAAAGAGAGAAAATAAACAAGGAACACTGATGATAATGAGATGGGACAGCCATCTTATGCAAATGTGGTGTGATTATTTTGGATTCATTTTATCAAACTAGAGCTGGTTTTAGTTAATGCATGTTGGTGTGATTTCTCTGCAAAACAGAGGAAATGAAGCAAGGAGTAATAAGTAAGGAATTAGCAACATGTGATCGCTAAATGCAGTTTAGATTACACAGAAGCTACTTGAATGACTATCATGAGATTGAATCCTACTGAATAAAAGCTAAAGCATCAAGGTATAGGCAAGATCAAAGATTCTACGCCATTAACCACATGTATTATTTGCTCGGAGCTCTTATAAATGCAGGAGAGTAAAGTCTAATGCACTACCCTATAAAATCATGGTTGGAGATAGATGTCTTACCTAAAAGACTGACTATCTCTCGTTCATTAAACCCTCTCGAACCAAATGCTTCAATTGTTTTAGACAGATCATCCTGGGGACTTGGGAGCTCGGAAGTTGCTATATCTAAGAAAGACATTGTGCTATCTTTCCTTCCAGTGAGCACAGGATAAAATGGGCCACCAGCCTGAAACTCAAGATATCAACAAAAAAAGGAACGGGTAGGCCTCATAATATACAGAGACAGCGCAGGGAGAATGTTACCAGTAAGACACTCTCTCTTGCTGCCAATGCAACAATATCAGCACATGAAACAATTCCAGGACATGCTGCTTCAATGTCTGACTTGATAATGTCAATCAGGTCGAAACCTTTTAGTGATTCATTTGGTGGGGAATCTTTCTCACTCTCAATATCATCAGCCGGATCCAATAAAATTGAGGCATCACACCCCTTAACATATACAACAATTAACAAACTGCGGTAAATTTACGTATGGAACAATTGAAATTTCAAAGATACGTCAATAGCCATGATAACACCAACAAAAACTTCAAAGAATCAAACCTTATTTAATTCGGAAGCAAATTTGAAAACACAGAATCCAATAGGCAACAAATCTCAAAATAAGCAAAAATATCCTTCAATAATTAACCACGTCGACAACCACTTCAAATCAAACAAAAAGAAATGAAAATTTACCTCCACAAAGCAGTCGTGGAAAACAAGCCTCAAAAGAGCAGGGGCAACATTATGCCGCAACTCCTGCAATTCTTGAACAGATGATCGGATTATTTGCTCCGCCAACGGGCAAGATTCATTGTAGTAATCATACTTGAGTGTCTCAATAACAACTCTGTGCTCTTGAATCTTCCTCGTCGCAAATGTATCGATACGAACAAGAGATGAATCCGAAACAGATTTACCCGCACTCTGAAACAAACTCTTCTTATTGGTTTCAGCATTCTGATTCTTGAGGGAAATCAAAACACACAGCATAAAAACAAGAAAACTCAGTTTTCGAGTGAAATCCATGCTGAAAGTTTCAGAGCAATTATCTAGAAAAAAAAAAGTGTGAAGTTTAAGCTGAAGAAGACGAAGAAGCAGAAGATGAATGCTGCGACGAACGGTATTAAATATTAATTACTCTTTTTATTTTTTTTTTAATTAATAAAAGCGCGGGAGTGAAAGACCTTGATTTCAATATGACACAAATGCCCCCGCAAGTTATAGAGGTGATTTGACAAGAATGCCCTTCAACTCTAAACCAAAATGATCAATGCTGTTCTATTTACCTCCTTATCTTTAACAAAACTCTGCTTGACAAACTTAGAAATTCTTCCAAACATAACAACTCTATAAACGAGCATTGAATCATCAAATCTGAACAACCATGTAGATCAAACCACACCTCATCATACAACAAACATAATCGAAACATTCGAAGCAGCATGCATGCAATAAAATACTCTGCACGATGCTTTTACAGCTGATAATCGGAAGTGATGAGGACACCGTGATCCTTCAAGCGTTTCTGGAAACGGGACAGGTGGTCTTGTAGTTGTAAGATGCCGGAAGCCTTCTGGGACAGAATCGAGTTCAATCTTGAGATGTAATCATCGAGGTGATTGCCTGGTCGATCGGCGCTGACCAACAGTTTCATCTCCTGTGCAAAGCAGAAAAACATATCAGCTGATGTGCTAAAATGTAGAGAAGTTTAAGGATATCATTGTCACAAACCTCCTGCACAATGTTCATTGTCTCCTCGACTTGTTTTCTGTGGGCATTGACGAGGCTTTCCTCTTCCTGCGAAAGAGAGATCAAAATATCTGAGCTGTAATGAAGTACCTAAACTTCTATAGTTGTGAAAGTTCCGAGTTTTCTTTACCTTCAGTAAAAGATTCAAATTTTCATTTGCATCCGATGGTTGAATCTCTGCTTTATAAGTTTCTGTCAGCTTAGCTTGGCCAGTGGCTGTCTTGATTTTATCGTCCGTATTGTAGGTGTAGGGCTCGATTTTTGTATTCTTCCATGAAGGTTTCTCTGGGTCCGAGAAATCTTCATTTTCTTCCATCTCAGTTTGCTCGAGCCACAAATCACTTGTGTCACCTAGAAGAGTTGATGCAGGAGATAAGAATTTAGATAGGGTTTGGGTTGTCGACTCTTTCAGGTTCATGGTTGAAGATAAGATGTCCCTTTTGGAGTTGTTTCCTTTGGAGAGGCTTTTGACCCTAAAAAAATCACAACAAATGTGAAGGAAGTGTAATAAGGGAAACATAACAGCCTATGTAAATGATTTAATGTCAAAAAACTGAACTAACCGGTCGGCATATCTTAATGTGTTCAAGGTATGTTCACAAGATCCCGAGTTTGGCGAAATGCATGATATCATCACGGTATGAGAATTCCCAACAAATGAATCCCTCAAAACTTCGGTTAATTTACTCCCTCTAAATGGAATATGTAGTTTATCATTGTCAAGAGCTCTGATACACTCTTTCAGTGCAAGCAAACTTTTGTTGATTTCGGCACCTTCCATCCTGCAAATTCAGTGCATTTGATATGATACGCTAAAAATGGCATAGGGGCTTGGAAATGTAGTCGAGTTTCTCAATTTGTAAGAACATACCTGGTCTGCTTATCATTATCTGTAGTATCTGCTCCACGCTCACTTCCAGCAAGATCAATAAATGAAAGTTTTCCAACAAGCTTTGCAGGTTTCGATTCGCCTCCTTTCTTAATTGTCAGCTGAAGAATGGCATGAGATCTGGAGGACTCCTCGTTTGCACCTGTGGTGCCCGTACTTCTCGTCGCATTTCCTATCTCAATGAGTTCCTTAACCATCTCCACATCTGATACCTGATATTCTTGCAAGCCCACAATACAAACTTGTTGTTTGCCATCCTCCCTCATGCAAAGTTTTCTGCAGGAGGAGCAAACAAATCATTCTTTCTGTAAATCTGATCTTAAAGAACAGATCTAGAATAGAACGGGAGCTTACTTCCGTTCACTGAGCAGATCAAAAAGTTTCCCTCCGTAGATCTCAAAGAAGCTGACAAACAATTGAAAGCCTTGGCCTTTGTACGTGTGGTTTATCACCCTCAAGATATCTCGAACGGCTTTGAGGGGCAGTGGCTTCATAGTGTAAGTTTTACCACTTCCTGTGGAATTTTAAGATTGAACAAATCATATGCAGCAAGGTCATAATACCTTCAATTCGATGTAGTGATCACATGTAACTCATACCTGTTTGGCCATAAGCAAAACATGTGGCTTTTGTGCGTTGGAAAATTATTGGAACTATAGGCTCAACAGTTTCATGGTACACCTAAAGACATTAGACCAACCACAATCAACATAAAAACATGCATTATTTCACTTGATTCATCACACTCTCAGCTCTAATTCAAGTATGATAGTCACCTCATCATTTGAAACTTCTTCATCCAACACTGCATCGAAAACAAATGCATGTTTCTCCACATATTCTGTCAGGTCCACCTGTGGTAAAATAATATGCAACCATTTTGAATACTCAACAAAAGACAACCGACATTGTAATAGTCTGAACCTACTTGAAATAATCATCAGAACAAGAAAGCAGAACAATTGCCACTAAAAAAACTCTTAAGCTAGCACTGAATCTCAGACCTTAAGTTTCATCTCATGTACCACAAGAGAGTTTGAGTAAGTTTCGATGATGTCTTCCTCATTCCTTGCCAGTTCTTTCTTGTTCAATGGTCTTTTCCTCACCTGCAATAAAATAATTGATATTTCTCAATGGCTGCACGACTCCAAACAACTCAATGGAACAAAAATAAATGCACGCACCACAACTTTGATCTTTGCAACATTACTGGCCTTTGCACCTTCAACAAGGTTTTTCAGCACATCACTATCTGGAGCTCTGGCAGAAGCTTTATTGTTTCCATAGAATTGCTCGGAATCATTAAAACTTCTTCCTCTTGGAAGATTATTGAGTGAAGGGCCATTGTAGATACTTTCAGGCATCTATTCACACCCAAAAGAAGTAGAAGAAGGAAACACACAAGAAAAATAAAAAAAACAGCACAGATAAGACAATTATCTCCAAAAACAAATCCATTTTATAGTGTACAGATGCAATGATTCGTCACAGAAAAGATCATTTCAAAACATTCAAATCCAATAATCAATCCACCTTCCCGCAACATAAACGAATCTCAATTCTGCTCCTCAATAATCAGAAGATTCGATCCCCTCAAGTTTACAATGGAAGCATAATTACCTCAGTAAGTAGCTCTGAATCTAAAGAGTGCAGATCCAAAAGCCCCGGGATATACTCATTCTGTGAAATATGATCCTCGTCACTCTTCCTCTGTAAATGCTCCGGCGGGGACAATGACTCGACAAACAAATCGCTGCTTCCGCCGTATGTTTTCTGCTCCTTTATGCTTCTGTACATCCTCGAACCCTGACCACTGCCATCATAGTACCCGAAATCCTAGAATTTTCAAAAACCAAATAAAATAATAAATAAAATTGAGGATTCAGGATAAGGCATTGCCGCATCGGGATCAAAATAATTTCAATTTCAATACTACAGGAAAACAATAGCTATGCACCTGAAATGGAGGAACAGCACTGTTGGATGACTGTAGGTGCTGCAGACCAGCCGACTGCAGCCACCGTCCGTTCGATGACGTATCCAGGAAATTGTCGGAGAACTGCCTCTGATGTTGCGCCGTTGATGCACTAGATCTCTGCCTCCCGACCGCATTCATTTTCTCAAATAAACAATGGTGTACAAAGAAAAAATCCTCGTTCTTCTGAGGCTCACCTTCTTTCCTCCCTACTAAAAAAATATATAAAAACAGATGATTTATACGATGCTTTCTTGTTGTTAAAGTGTACAAAATATCGTAATCTACGACGCCATCTTTTATACAAAATTTCCAATTTTCATACAGAAGCTTCCGAATTCCACTTCTGTGATTTGCTTCACTTCAACGCTGCAGCTAAAAAGGGTGAAAATGAAGAGTTTCACAAAAGTAGGGGAATGCAGAAGAACGAAATCATTGCGTGAACAAAAATGGGACACGAAGAAGAGAAGGAGTTTGAAATTTTTTGAGTGGGAATTAGCGTGGTTTCATTCGAACTTGGAATTTGGCCATTGCCGTTGGAGTTTGAATTTTGAATGAATACAGAACGTGCGAGAATTGACACTGGCTGAAAAAATAGCTGGCGCCAAAGTGGGCCCCCCTTAATAGACAGGCACAATTATGGGTCGGATGTCTCGGATCCGATTCATAATCCGATCAAATTCGGGTCGGATTTTGGCTTCTTTGAGGCGGCGGGCGAGAAGATATTTGGTGGGGAATTGGGCGAACCGGTAATCCCCAAGGACGCCGCCGCACAGCTTCACGCGCCGCCACGCATGGCTTATCAGTCAGTCTCCATTTCTATATCAGCTTTGACGCCGACTGCGGCGCGGTTTCCACCTCTCTCTTCTCCTTCAACTTCATCCGCATCATTTCCGGCGGCGTCTTCAAACACCGTATGCTTGTTTCCGCGGCTGAATTGTTCATCTAGATTTCGAACCGTACGATGGACGCGTGAACGGCGGAGGTCATGGATTGTTGGTATGGCTCCCGAAGAAGAGAAGATGACTCGCCGTTCGCCCCTCGACTTTCCTATTGTAAGTTCTGGTTTTCCCTTTATGTATCCGAATTTTATGTGTAACTTTCCTTTGATTTTCGACTTTTTTTTTTTTCATTTACTTCATTATAGCTCAGCATATTGTGCTTGCAGTTTTCATGCCTGGAAATTTTCAACTGCTAATTCGTTGTTGCTTGGATTTAGTCTGTGAATTTGAAGTTGCTTATTGAATTGATGATAGGAGAGTAATCAATTAGACATTGGCTATTGAACGCATAAAGAAAATAGCTATTCCAGAGGAAGGATTCTGAAGAAAGTAAAATATGTTTCTAAAATTAAGAACAGTATTGGGGAAGTCTGCTAACTCTAACTTGAATTTCTTTGAAACATGTGGTTGCATCCATTTGATGAACAATCTAGTAGGTGGCTGTGTCTCTGTTGCTTACCTTAAAAGAAAATTGGTATAAGAACCACTGGTGTTTTCAGGTATTATCAACTTTAACTTTGGAACAAACACAGAACATTGGCAACCATAAATGATCTGAATAAAAAGATAAGATGACGAATGCGATTGCGATTGCTAGCTAGGCTGAACATTCCAACATGGACATGTGTTATGTGGTAGGAGGGATTCGAGTGATTACTGCTTAACCATCAAAAAGATGTGTCGATTCTGGCCCTGTGTATGGTATAACGTGCTGGTTTTGATATTATGTTTTCCATTTCTTGCGATACAAAGAAGCTTATTTGGTGGCAAAGTATGATGTCTACATTTAACAACATGCTGTTATTAGGGTATTTTACAGGTGTAGCTTTTTAAGATTCTTGTGATCGATATTTAAGTTTTTCCCATACAGATGAGGCACACTGTTAACTTGTTTGATGTTTCTGAGTTCAGTAATGCTAATTGCGACTGCTGAATAACTTGTTGTCGAAGATGAACTTAGGGATGTTGTGGCTTGAGGTGTTGCATTGGATGCATTTCTTTTAGGGTCTTTTATAGAATTGAAATTTAGTGGCACTCTGCCATTGTTGCTTAATGAAACGTAGTCGCCAATGATGTACGGATTATTCCAATGTCTTAAAACTCGATAATAACTCAAGAATAAGTAATCGTCTAAGGCCCGGTTCCATTTTGTTATATAGTTATGCAAAGCACACAAGCAGTCCCTTGTCTAAAGTGCAGGCATATGATTTAAATGATTACTTTATCAAAATGTTCCCATTTCACTTCTTAGTAAAAATTCATACAACGTTTTGTACTTTTTTACCATGAAATACAAAAGTAGATATTTACGTTAAAATCTATGTCCAAAAGTTTGAGCAGACATTTGGATGACGGAGGGAGTTTAACACGACTTCTAGCATGGATCACTTTTAGCATAGAGATCAGAAGGAAACATGTTTTGACATTTTGTTGTTTTATTGATCTCTATGTCTTCTACAATTTGTTGCATCGAATTATATGGCACTGATGACTGATGTATTCTCAGGAGTGGGAAAGGCCAAAGCCAGGACGGAGACCAGATATCATGCCCCAATTCAGCCCGATGAAAACTCCATTGCCACCACCAATGCCGGCAGATCCTCCTGAGGAAGACGAAGAAGAGGAAGAGGAGAAGAGAGAGGAAGAGGAGGAGAATCCGGAGAAGGAAGATCCTGACAAACCCGACAAGTAAAACATATTTAATCTGAGTTAATATAGCGATTGCTGATTTACAGGATATATTAAGATGATGCACCACCTCTATTTGGCATATGCTATGATCTTGCAATAGGATTTTTTTATATTTGTTATTTTTTTTGTTGATGATCTTGCAATAGGATTTTATTTATATTTTTATTAGGTTAAATGGTCGAATGTTTTGCAGATTTTGTAGGCAATGTTACTATTTTGTTTTACATCTTATGACTAATAATATTTGCTTATTTGAGATGGAATTTCTTACAGTAATGGGACTTTTAAGGTTTATCGGTGTAATGGTGTCTGCTATTTGAGATTTGAGTCTGTGAGAAATGATTATTACTGTTTGGACTTGATTATTTTGTGTTTGTTATGTTTTGTATTAAATAATAATAATAATAATAATAATAATAGAAACTAAAATAAATAAAAGTCGATACTACCTTGTTAGTGCTTAGTTGTAATCACGGCGCCAAATTCATTTTGAATTACAAAATGTATTTTGGTTGAGTTTGTATGTGAGATTTAGGTTTTGAGTTTGGGTTTAAAAAATATTAAAATTAAATTTTAATGTAATATAATAAATAAAAAATAAGAATTAGATTTATGTTTTTTTTGTAAAGAAAATTTGGAGTAATAAAAATCAATTCGAAAACCTTAAGTTTATAAAAATGGTTTATTCAGGATTTTTAGTTTATATTCCTTTAGCAGATACTTATTTTATATATAATTCTTTACTATTTTCAGATTAATCCAATATTTCAAAATACGTCTAAAATATTTTTAAACAAATTTTTTATATTTGGTGGTAGTTTTAAATTAAAATTAACATTGTTGGCTTTGTACGATTTTCAGTAAAAATTTATTATTCTTTTATAAAATACAATATTATTTAAACAAAAATGCAAATCAATACATTTCAAAATTATTTCAAATCACAACCAAATAAATACAGTATGTATAATTTATTTATATAGTATTATATATATATATATCACCATTCATGTTTATATTTAAAACAACGAATTTCATATCGGAATGCAAAATTTTCAAATAAAAGAAAATAGTAGCTTACGAAAGTTGTCCAAACGCATAGATACGGCCTTTATTACCTTGTTAATGTGATGTGAGATTCGCGAGTAGATGCATATCTACAATGGACTGATATTTGTTATAGTAATAGCATGCATATCCATACACATAGAATATATAAAGCTATTTATAAATATTATTTATTTATTTATTTGGATTTGTATACTTGGTATAATATGAGTCTTATTTTTGTCTCGTTCGTTTTAGGTGTCATATGACTACTTGTTGTATGCATCATGCGTTTTGTTGTTGTATTTACGTCAAATCTTTACTTTATTGGTGGATCTCACATAATGTATTTCCGCAACAAAGATGATATTAAATTAATATAAAATAAATTTAAATAAAATATAAGCCTCAAAATCGTTTGATTTGAAATGACTATATTACCCTCATTCTTCTGCATACCACTCTCGGGACTTCTATTCATATGCTCCCCTCAAAGGAACACCTCAACGGGAAAACACTTCGAATATATTTTGAGACATGTCAGGGTTCAGTTCAATACACGCTGCACATATAATATAGTTAAAAAATAAAAATAAAAAATTATAATGTAAATGTAAAAATAAATCTTGTTTCTTTTGACCTAAACTTTCGATTTTTTAACTATTTGAATTATTCGTTTTTCGAAAAAATATATATTTTTTTTACAAAATATTATATCAAATATTATTTTAATGTCAAACTCAAATCAAACTTTTTCCAAACCAATAAAAAGAATACACAATTTTAATAAAAATATTTTGAAAAATGACAATACTATCATTTTGCATGAAGTCATTTTATATTATCATTAAAAATGATGTAAAAATATAGCGCAATTTGAGAGAATTCCAAATAGAAACAAAGAGGCACCACAAACTAGAGAACTACCTTATCATTATAACCTCAAAAAGCGCACAATAATAATAATAATAATAATAATAAGGATTAACTGTTTTTTTTTTTTTTTTTTTAATTGGACCTTCTTAGCATTTTAGTCTCGTAAGTGGAATATGTCGCAAACTAGTCTCATAAATAAAAAATTTTCGCTATTTTAGTCCTCCGGCGCCGGAGATGCCCGTCTGGCTCGCCGGAGGTGACTGACCTGGCGGACACGTACATTTTTTTTTTTTCATTTTTTAAAATTTTTTTAAAACTTATTTTTAATTTATTTTAAATTTTATTTGTATTTTTTTTATTTGATCCAATTAAAAAAAATAAAAAATAAATGAAAAAAATAAATAAATCCACGTGTCCGCCAGGTGTCACTGATCTGGCGGGACACCTGGCGGACACGTCACCTCCGGCGAGCAACGCGTACGTCTCAAGCGCCAAAGGACTAAAACAGCGAAAATTTTTCACTTATGAGACTAATTTGCGACATGCTTCACTTACCGGATTAAAATGATAAAATGGTCTAGTTACAAAACTAAAAAATATTGTTTACCCTAATAATAATAATAATAATAATAATAATAATAGTAAATGAAAAGTGTGACATTTTTTTTTCCCTCAATCACTCATGTGTTGTCTTTATACGGAAATCAGTTCATTGACGAATTCTGGCTCCTATAATTAATAATAATAAATCCACACAAAAATTTAATAATAATAAATCATACTTATCATTATACGTACTAATTAATAAAAATAATTTTTAATTATTGAACGAATCTCCTCATCATTTTTCCTTTTATTTTTTAAAATGAATAAATTTTTTATACTCTTTTAGTCTTTTAAAATTGTGCTTATTTTCTTATATTAAATCATTTATTTAACCTAAAAATAATAGAAACTAATTAAGCACACGCACGTAAATCTAAATATATATATATATGTACAAAATCTTAATTACTTACAACATTAAAAATAATTTCTTCATTTTTTATTAATTTTAAAAATAAAATTAGAACAGTTTGGATTAGCTTAAAAAATAAACAAAAGCCAAAATCAAAAGCAGACAGTTTGATTTTGTATTTGGATGAATCATTATAAAAGTAGTTTTTTATAAAAAAAATAAAAAATATTCGAATGTAATAGAGTTGAAAGTATTTTTAAATTGTTAAAATTACTTAAAATGATATGAATATAATAGGAGTATTAATTTATTCGTATTTTCTAATTTATTCTAAAATTTTATAACTTATATTTAATAATTTTAGTATAATTAAAAAAATTATATACTCTATTTAAATTTGATATCTCAATTATAATGTTAAATTTTAATTTAAATATAATATATAAATTAATTATTTTTATTATACTTTAGCTTAAAAGTATTTTTATTTATTTCAAAAAATACCCTTAATATGCTTTTTCAAAAACACTTTTCAACCTAAAAAATTATTTTTACTTTTGAACAAAAATCAATGCAAACAAATATAAAAATATTTTTTTAAAAAAACAGAAGCCAAAAGCAGTTCACATGAGTCAATCCAAAAGAACCTTATATCTTTAATATTTTAAAATTAAAATTATTACTATTATTTTGTAAGGTTTGACTGAAAGTATCATGCGTCTTGAAAGTGATGCTAAATTATTGGAGGTCGCCTAAAAATATCCAAGAATGCATCCGTCTAGTTTTGGCTGAAAAAATTAATAAAAAATATAAAAAAGAATTAATAAAAATATTGAAAACATTTTATTTTATAGTAATATTTGTATAATTTATTATATTTTGCAATAAAAACAAAAATTATAAAACTAAAAGAATACGTTTAGATGAATTTATTTAATATTTTAGTTTAATATTTTTTTATGCAAAGTGGAAAAATAATATTGATAATATAAAAATATAATATTTTATACTAAAAATTAAATTTTTTTATTAGAATATCAAATACTTCCCCCGTCTCAATACAATAGTTTTATTTACCATTTTTGTCTGTCTCAAAACAATAATCTTATTTCTATAAATAATCATATCACCGTAAAATTACTCATACTTTTTCATTTTTATTATATCGCTACTTTTTACACTAATACACCCACAAGGCAAAAAAATTTTTTTATCCATACTTTTTACTAGATACCAATATAATATCAATATTTCTTAAATCTCGTGTCCAACGCAATTAACTAGAGTTCTGGGACGGGAAGAGTATATTTTAACATGTTAGAAAATAATTATTTGATCGAATAAAAGCATAGAGAATAACAACATGCTATTTATAAGATCAAAGAAACGATTTATATTGATTTGTTAGATTGAACTTCATATTACCTTTTTATATTTAAGGTGTGTTTGTTTTGGGGATTAAATTTTTAATATACTATTCATTCTATTTTTTTCCTTCAAAAACATCAAATCGAACACCTATTTTTTATTTTTTATATTATACTAAATATCAATTTTACATTAAAAATATCACACCAACACTTATTTATATCACATCATACAATTATTCATGTTCAAAATTTTTACTATTCAAATCCCAACTCAAAATTCAAACCGCCAAACAAACACACCCTAGTTTGATGTGATTTTTAATAAAAAAAATTATAACAAAATTATTTAAATTGAAATTCAATCAAATAAACTTACATTTCTTGAATATTCAATTGTCTCCGCTCAAAGCCACTTTTGACGTTTTGGAATCAATTGGTCGACTGTCGCTCTCTCTTTTTTATTTTTAATAATAATACTTATCATTATTTTGTTTTATTTTTATATTTAAATTACGTTTGTAAAAGAGGAATGTTATGATATAAACTATGAGATTCAACATATTATTTTTATATAAATATATATTATCTAGTTATTATTAATACATTTAGATTTATTGATTAATAATCACATTGATAAATTTTAAAATATGTGTTTGTAATTTGAAATTGAATATTGATTTAATTTTTGTTTAAATAATAGATATATATATTTATTTATAATTAAGATAAATTAGGTTATAAAAATAAGCAAAAAAATATATATTATGTAAATATGTATTTGCCCATTTAAGATAGCATGAGCTATATTTTGGCATGGAAGTTCACAAATTTTGTTTAGTTTGCAATTTTTGTTTCAAAATTTTATTTGTTATGATTAGTCATATTTTCAATAAATTTTTTTTTAATAAAATATTATGTTAAAATAATGGGTTTACTCACTCAATAATTTTTTTTTAATAGTACGATTATTTATAAATATTATAAAAATCCTAATATATACTCCATTCGTCCTATGAAATTAGTCCATTTTTTTTGGACGCGCAGTTTAAAAAAAAATTGTGTTGGTTAGTTAATTAGTTTGATTAATGGATTTAATAAAGTGTTATATTAAATATTTCTTATTTAATAAAATATTAAATTAAAAGTTAAAATATTTTTTATTTTAATTTTTATATATTGAATTTTTTATTTACTGATATCATTTAAAAATAATAATAATAATAATTGTATTTATTGTAAATTAATGCATGCATTTAGATTAAAAAAAATAAATTAATAACTAAATATAATATTTTTTATTTTAATTTTTATATATTGAATTTTTTATTTACTGATATTATTTGAAAATAATAATAATAATTGTATTTATTGTAAATTAATGCATGCATTTAGATTAATAAAAATAAATTAATAACTTAAATGTAATTTATACAATAAAAAAATGTAATTTAAAAAAATTATATAAACAATACATAAAATTTTTCGAATTTGGTGGTTGTTAAAGATAGTTCGTTATGACATACCAAATTTAATACCACATCGCATATGTACGGTACAAAATTTTTGGTATGATATTTTACCGTACCGTACAAATATTTTGGTATACCAAATTTGCGAATAAAAAATACTGAATTACGGAAATAACATGCATACTCGTAAAGAAAATACCGAAAAAATTTCAAAATTTCGGTACAATATGACTTTTTTTTTTGTATAATAACGCTATACAATAAGATATTTTCAGTGTACATAGATAATTAAAAAAAAAATTGGTATTTTTGTATATACTGATTATTTAATACAATATCGATATCTTTTTTTAATAAATTAAAAAATTTGGTACGGTATACAATATAGTTCGAAAATTTCGGTATTCTATCTCAAATCATCTCTAACTGAATTGTATACACGGTATTAGAATATAATATTTTACGTCAAATATCGAAATTAAAAATAAGTTTATAATTTTGCAATATAAATAATTTCTATTTTTCTTATTTTTTTAACAAAAAAAAAAAATTCAATATCAAATTAATTTTTCAGCCATAAATTTTCAAATCAAACATCAAATTTTTATTATATATTACATTAAAATTTAATTTTAAAATTAAATAAATATTTATTTATATAATATAAAAATATTTATTATTTTTATTATTCAAAATTTTAACCAAACTTCTAAATTTACAATTAATAAATAATAAAATTAAAGATATTAGTAAGTTAATAAAATATAATTAATTTTTTTAAATTAGAAGTATTAGTTATTAATTATTAATATAATAAGAAAGTGGACTAAGTTAATGGGACGATCAAAAAAGAAAAATGAACTAATTTCGTGGAACGAAAAGAATATATTAATACAATATATATAATATATTATTAATTCAAAAAAATTAATATTTCAATATAAAATATTATTTTTTATATTTTATTTTACTTACAAAAGTGAACAAATCAATTATTTAAACAAAATTTAAATTCATGTACAAACCAAACAAACACTTGTCTACACTTTCACAAACTTGTTTGGAGTAATTATACAATTAAATACATTACATGTTTATAGACATAATTAAAATATCTTAATTGAAAATAAATGGTGTATTCTTTTTATTTTTTAAAAATTTTTATTTTATTATTCTCAAGATAAATATATTCATTTTTATACAAAAAAAAAGAAAAAAAACTAAACCCTATAAAAAAGCAAAATTTGTTGGTGTTAAAAGTATTTAAAAGATAGTTTCAATTTTTAAAACTAATAAAAAATACTAAAAATAGTAGTTGGTTATAAACTTAAAAGTTACTCATAAAAATACATATATATATATATATAACATGCCTAAACAAGCAGATAATTTAATTAATTTTATTTATAATTACTATTGGCGAATTATACGAATATTAATGTGAAATACATACATACACTACATTATATATATACGCTGAACCTTGTACACAATTGGGTCCACGTACGGTCTACTTTCTTATGTGTGACTCTGATGTTATAAGTAGTCATGGTTACTATTCAAATAAATACATAGGATGCAGTATAATAATTTTTCATAAATACTAGTGGTCACGCTGTCCTATGCACAGACATTTGTAAAATATTATTATTATTGTATAATAAAAAAAATTATAAATTTAATTTGTGAGATTTATACTCATAAAATTTTGTTTAATTATTTTATTTTTATTTTATTATATCTTAATATAATATTAATATTTTTAAAATGGATAGATAAATATGAAAGGGAGAGAGTACAATATTATTATTATTCGAATTGCCATGTACCATTTTTTTAATTTTTTATACTTTATTATTTTATAAGTAAGACCCATCATAGAAAAAAAAAGCTCATAGCATCTCTTGTAGTAGACCAAAATCAAAACTAAATATATATGTATATTAAATTATTAAAAAAATAAAAATATATATTAATATATAATATATATTATTTATACATAAAAAGTCAATTATTTAATATAAAATATTATTTCTTTTGTTTTATATAATTTATTATTTTTTTTAAAAAAATATAATTATATACTTTAATCATATTTTAATTTTTTAAATTTTATAATTTTATTAATTTTAATTAAATTATTAAATTATTTTAATTTTAATTTATAATTATTTTTATTATATAATAATCATTTTTATTAATATATTTATTAATTATTATACTTTACCTAATAATTATTATACACTTATTACGTGGGAGAAGTATTATTTTTTATATTACCGCATAATTTTTTGTACCATAAATAATAATAATAATAATAATTAATTCAACTAAAAAAGATAGTGAACAAACTGATTTACTCGTTTATCTATTTATTTGTTTTGGAATGTCAGAAATTTTCACTATATATTGGAATAAAAAAGATAATCTGCACCACATAAGAAAAAAAAATCAAAATCAAAATTAAAATTAAATCAAATTAATTTTGGCTGCGAGAACCGCAAAAAGGTCAGGAAAAAGATCCGCCGCCGATGGACAGCGCCGCCGTGAAACGGATCTGTTTAATCATCAACGGCCTGATTCTCGCCGTCGGCAACTGCGGCGGTCCGCTGGTGATGCGCCTCTACTTCATCCATGGCGGCAAGCGCGTGTGGTTCTCCGCCTGGCTGGAGACCGGCGGCTGGCCGGTCATCCTAATCCCCCTAACAATCGCCTACTTCCGCCGCCTCCGGCAGGCGGCGACGCCGCCGAAGATTTTCTTCATGAAGCGGCGCGTGTTCGGCGCGTCGGTGGTCATCGGAATTCTCACCGGCATGGTCGACTATTTATACGCCTTCGGCGTCGCGAAGCTTCCGCTGTCGACCTCCGCCGTGATAGTGGCGTCGCAGTTGGCGTTCACCGCCGTGTTCGCTTACCTGTTCGTGAAGCACAAATTCACGCCGTACTCGATCAACGCCATTGTCACGCTCCTCGTCGGCGCCGTCGTCCTCGCGATTCACTCCGACAGCGACCGACCTAAGGGCGAATCGTCCAAGGAGTATCTGCTAGGGTTCTTCATGACGGTTATGGGCGCCTTCCTGTACGGCGTGATTCTGCCATTAATGGAGCTCACCTATTTAAAGGCAAACCAACAAATCACCTATACGCTCGTCCTCGAGATCCAATTGGTAACAAACTTCTCCGCCACAGTTTTCTGCACAATCGGAATGCTCATCAACCACGATTTCCAGGTACTGAAACCCTCAATTTCTTCCAATTTCCCCCAATTTTGACCTAACTCATCCCCAATCGACCGTTCCTCCTCTCAATTTCAAATTCAATAGGCGATTCCGAAGGAGGCGGAGGCGTATGCCCTAGGTTCAACCATGTACATCCTCGTGGTGCTCTGCAATGGCGTAATGTGGCAGTGCTTTTACCTCGGCGCCATCGGAGTGATCTTCTACGCATCCTCGTTGCTATCCGCCATTATCATCCATGCTCTGCTTCCGACGACGGAGCTCCTCGCCGTGCTGTTCTACCACGAGTCGTTCCAAGCGGAGAAAGGCATCTCTCTGTTCCTCTGTCTATGGGGATTCACTTCCTACTTCTATGGCGAGATCAAACGCGAGAGGAGGAACAAGAGGAAGAATCTAGAAAGCAATCAAACTACAGAATTACAGGTAACATCAACACACTCTCCTGCAAATGTTTGATCGAATTAAATTATTGTTTTACAGCATACCTAGATTCAGCTTCTTTTTTTTTTTGCAACATTGAAGCTTCAGTTCATCATATCAATTATTAGCAATCAGTTTTCCCAATTTCAATCCCCATAGTTTGAGCAAATTCATCATCACGGGTTTGCTTAAACCTCTCTGAAATCGCCTCCCAAGAATTTCTTGCCCCTTTCTAACATCACCTTAGCCAATCATCAAGACTTCAATCAAATGCTTCTATAGTTTCTGTTCTTGAAATTCTGAAAATAGAAAAAGTAAATGAGAAAATGTCTATGGTAAAAAGTTTGATAAAGTGCAATTGTTTAAGTAAAAACATAGAAATGAGAGTTGTAAAATCCTTTTTTTTAAAAAAAAAAAATATTTGTTGCCATTATGAGGAAGAATTGGGCATAATTTATTAAAAGGTCACCATTGCATATCTAAAAGCAATTATATTCTTCCACATGTGAATAGTGATGCAAAGACAATCCAGTAGGGAAGTTGTTTCAAATTTTGATTTACATACCCAACCCACTCAAATGATTCTTTTGTAAGCTATTCATTTAAGGTTCTTTTTTATTTTTTATTTTTTATTTCTAAAATATTATGTTAAATATACTTTTTTTTCACAGAATACTACACTAAATAATCAGTACTTGTTTATTATTTGTTTTTTTATAAGGATGGAAGGATTTTAAGTTTAATATTTAGTGAAAGATTTTTTTCAATATAAATATTTTGAAAGGAAAATGTGTTAAGAATATGGTAATTTGGAAGAATATAGATTGAAACACATACTATATAGTAACCTGTATATAAAGTAATCGTCTTAGTTATATATTTTAAAATTAAGTTTTGAATTTTATGAACTTACCTTTATTCACGATATAGCTTTGTACTAGAAAATAATTTAGAAGGTATCTGACAATTAATTTATTTTAAAAAATTTAATTGTTAGATCAATCAAACTGAAACAGTCAAGTAAAATATTTTATAAGACCTCTTCTTCTTTCTTTCTTTGTTTTTTTAGGAGTTTTTATTGAAGCATAAACCCTAATTTTAGAAAGCTATATGTAGAGGTGTGCAAAACTATAGAATTTCTTTATTTACCAACTGAATTTAAATTTGAAAATTCAAATTTGGTAATTTGATAATTCGAACAATATTTGGATGCGCTGAATTCAATATTTTTTAAATTAATTCAAGTATGGTGTTACTATTTTTTAATTCAGATTCACCGATTTTGAATTTCAATAATTATTTTATTTAATATTATATATAAATATATTTTTTGAAAAAAAAATATATATATATAGCACCCAATTCATCAAACATAAAAATTTTATAATTTTATATTATTTATTTTATTTATATTCAATTATATTACCATAAGATTTTAAATAAATTAATAAATTTAAATTATCACAATTTAAATTTATTATATTTATATTGAATTCAATCAATTCTATAAATACTAAATTGAAATTAATTTCGAATTGAGAATTTGAAATTGAAAATTATGAGTTTAAAATTCAATTTGATAGGAATTTTTGAATTTTTTTTTTTTTTTTTTAAAAAAAAAACTGAATTCAAATATTGGAATTACGTGCACACCCTTAGCTACATCAGTTTAACAACAGTATATAATTCTCCATTATTTATCTCTCTTTTTATAAACAAATATTTTTATTTATATTTAATTTTTATTTTTTATAAAATTAATTTTAAATTAATTATGAATAACTAAATACTTTTTATTTTATTTATTTGTATAATATAAAACTTTATTTTATATAAAAATGGTAATATATTATATATATTATTGAGATCTAATGTTAAAAATATATAAAATACCAATAAATTACTTATATAAACAAATAATATCATAAATTATTATTAATAATTTACTGGTCTACATTACCTAAAATACTGTTTCCAGATATTTGATTGGGGACGTAGAAAGTACTATTTTTTTATTCGTTTTTATTAAAACTCGTGTTCAATCACATTAGTATAATTTTCGATGAGAAAGAGATACTATTTATTATTAAATTGTTCTGAAAAAAATAAATTAAATATATATATATATTAAATATTATAGTCCTTCTATCCACTTTATAAATATAAATTTACTTTTTGTATAGAGTTTAACGAAGAATATTGTATATGAATGATAGCTAGTGATTGTTTTATATGTAAAGACAATTTTAATTCAATTATGTGTAAAATATTGTGAGAATATTAATATAAATAAGTATAAATATATAGATATTTGTAATACATAGTGGAGTTCATATCTATTTTAAAAAATAGATATTTTTCGTTCGGCCAACAAAAAAACAACAAAAAGTAATACAAGAAAACTGAAAAAAAAATAAAAAAATAAAAAAATTCTCAATAGTGGACGTTGGTGTGTTTGTTCGTGAATTTTAGTTTTTGAGTTTGAATTTTTAAATAGTAAAAAATTGAATTTGAATAATTATTTGATGCGATATAAATAAAAAAATGATGTAATATTTTGAATATAAAATAAATTTATAATATAATAAAAATTTCTCGTAAAATTCACAAAATAACACAACTAAATGTTTATCATATACCCTCGAGCTTTCACTGTATCCATTCATTTCCACAAGACAACGGTTTTGTACGCAACTCAATCGGACCTCCAAACTCTGCTTGGGCCTGGGGTTGTTCTCCTTAAGATTCATCTTTTAACTTTGGGCCGCCAATTATTTGGGCCTATCCACCAATTCTTTCTTGAGCCCAACAATACTAAAAAAATATTTTCATTATCTCCGAACGATGAAAAAAAATACAAAAATGTCATAATAATAACTCTACTTTCCCCTTCTAAATGTTTTGCTATTATATTTAATTTAAAATATTTCAAGTTTTTTGTAATTTTCATGGTATGTAAGTTTTATTTTTTTTCTCATTTGAATATAATTTATAATATTATCGCAAATAAAAAAGAATAAAATAGTAAAATCCTATAAAATCATATCACTTAAATAAAAAAATATGTACATATATATTTACCATGTAGCCAATGTAAATATTTATTAGCAAACATTTGCCTTCCCCTTGCGGGCTTGTTAATGACATCCCAAACAAAGCCCAATAATAGAAGGCTACTCCAAAAGCCTAGTGAAAGCCTCCATGAGAGGCCCAACATTCATTTTTATTTTTTCAATTATTTTGAATTTGTTTAGTTGTGATTTTGATATTAATTTAAAATACACTTGGATCTTTATTTAAATAGTATTTTTATATAATATTTTGCGGGAGAAAAAAAAATTATTTTGATTGAAATTTGTACAAGATGAATAATATTGATTTTAATTTAAAATACTAAAAGAACAAGCTTGTTATTTTATTTATTTATTTATTTTCATTTTGTACATTTAATCTAATATTATACACATCATTGAGAGTATTTGAAAAAAAATTAAAAATCGAAAGAGAGCTTTAAAGTACATATGATTAATTTTTACTCTATGTATATACATGTTGAATTAAGTTGGCGCAGGTTAGAGAGAGAGCAGGGTAGTGCATTAACACGGCGATTCGATACCGTATATCGAAAATCATATTGTATATTATACTAAAATTTTGGTAAGCTATTTTTCATATCGATATCATATTGAACATTCAGTATACTGAATACTAAAATGATATACGATAATTTTTTTTGGCATATACTAAAAATTTTAATTTACATAATATTATTGTACTGATATTTTCTATATTTTTTGGGTACGGTATTTCAATGTTTTTACATCCCTAGACATTAATGCATAGATGTGCTGGTTTTATGTCTGTGTGGACCATAAATTTAATTAAACTATATATATATATATATATATATGCTGCATTGTAATTAAGTTTGATTGCAGACTCGGCCATCGCCATCTCCACTCATACTCCTACAACACCACCTGAATCAATACATACATTCAATATATATATATATATATAATCTGCTTCTTCGATATGTTCGAGGACGACATTTACCCCTCTCTCCTCTTTCTCCCTCTCTCTCTCTCTCTCTCTCTCTCTCTCGTGCCATAGGGGTTGGACTTGTGATCGTGAAATTACAGTTCAAACCTGACGCCTCATGTCACTTGCCACACATGGTCGCCTAATGTGATTTTTTCGTCGAACATGATTTGCAGGGTATTAGGTTCAATCGGGAGTTTACCAATGCGCACTTTCGGGTAGCTGTTTCTGGTTCCAACGTGATAAAAAAATATAAAAAAAAAAAGAAAAAGAATAATAATACGCCCAATGTTTTCCTTGTTAATTAGATGGAATTGTGATGAAAACCACTTCCCACCATCACTTTTCCCTTTGTTTTTATCACCACATACACACACACTCTCCAATTCACCTCTCTCTCTCTCTCTCTATATATATATATATATGTATGTATGTATATGCTTCGTCAACAACATTGCCAGATCACATTACCCACCCCATTTGTCTTTCTCCACACTCATCCATCACTCCCCATTCACTCTTATACATACATATATATATATATATACACACACATATAGGGAGAGAGAGAGGGAGGCTCTTGTTAATTAATTTGAAAGGCTATATATCAATGGTATGTGTGTCCAATTTCAGTCAATTTTATAAATAGATAGATACATTAATTTTGGAAAATGAAATATATATATATATAATTAATTAATTGCAGCGGGTGGTGGCGGCGATGGCGCAGTCGGTGGCGGCGACGATGGGGCGGCTGGTGGCGCAGCCGGCGGCGACGGTGACGACGGTGCTGTATTACAGCGATCTTCTTCCTCGGAACCTTAATCTTGATCGATTCGTACAGCACGAGCTCGCCCTGCCCCACAATTTCTTGTTCCATTTCCTCACTCGCTTCTTGCGATGCTTTTGGTAGACCACCACATTAATTAATTAATTACTTAATTAATTTTGCATCAATAGATAAAATCCATTGCACTATTTGTCTCTTTTCTTTACCTCACTAAGATGTGTATTTTTCTCTCATAAAAAAATTTGAATGTAATTTTTTAGAAAGTATTTATATTTTATATTCGCTCAGTTCCAACTCAGATTCAGAATATTTTTTTAAC